CTTGCATGCTCTTCTCCCTAGCCCAGCTACGACCTGGTGTGCCAGTCATTTTCTGCCTTGAATTCTTCAGCATCCAGAAGCCCCAGGCCAGCCTGGCTAGTGCCAGGAGTGTCAAGACCCCCACAGCAGGGGGCTCCCAGGGAATGAGGACCAGAAACTGGACCATGTAGAGAGAAGCAGAGGGCCCTAACAGCTGAGGAGTCAGATTTACATCTTTTTTGTTCCTTTAAATGTGTCTTCCTATGTCAGGTACAACTGTCAATCCTCGGACTGCATGTACCTTTTGTCAGGAACAAAGGGAAGGGATCCTGCTCTTTTCTGTTGTGGTGGTGGTTCTGGGGATTGAACCCAGGCTGCTTTCCTATTGAACTACATCCCCAGCCCTTTCTCTTTTTTTGAGACAGGATCTCACTAAATTGTCCAGGCTGGCCTTAAACTTGTGATCCTCCTGCCTCAGTCTCCTGAGTAGTTGGGATTATAGGCCTGTGCCACCGTGCCTGGTTCTACAACTTTTGATAACCTAATAGTTCTCATTATGTGCCGAGCATGGAATGGAATCATAGCACCACAGATATGAGAACTGAAGGGGTCTTTGATATTAATAAATGCTAGGCAAGGCCATGAGTGATTTAGGGACATGGTCTTTGATCCAGATAAAGCTCATCTTTCTAGGTTAGAACATAGTTCTAAATTGGGTTCTGCTTAGAAATATGCCAAGAAGGTGCTTTCCTGTGTACCAATCCCTACTTTCCAGTCCCTCAGCAGAATTCCTCTATCCATTGGTATGTTCTAGAAACTAGTTCTCTGCCTGCACCTGACTATGCTGACCCATCTGAGAACATCTCAAACAACCTGCCTTGTATGCCCGCTGCAGCTGGTTAGGCTAGCCTGGCAGGTCCCTTAGCGCTGTAGAGTGACTGGTGCTTCAGCTTTAGAGATTGCCCAGACCCTTTGACTAGTAACATTCTTTCTAGGGATTATATTTTAAGGAAAGAAAATTAGAGACATAATCAAAATTTATGTGTGAGAATACTCATTGTAGCATGGTTTATAACAGCAAAAAAAAAATCAAAACAAATTCAGTCACAAATAATAGGAGATTGGCAAGTAAATTATACATATGAAGAGTAGTCATAAAGAATATTCTAGGGGGCTGGGGTTGTGGCTCAGTGGCAGAGCACTTGCCTTGTACATGTGAGGCACTGGGTTCAATCCTCAGCACCAGATAAGAAATAAATAAACAAAATAAAGGTATGTGTCCATGTATAACTAAAAGCAATATTTAAAAAAAAAGAATATTTTAGGGCATAGTGGCACAGGCCTGTAATCTCAGTTAATCTGGAGGCTCAAGCAGGAAGATAGCAAGTTCAAGGCCAACCTGGGCAAGATCCTACCTCTAAATTAAAAACAAAATTAAAAAGGACTGGAGATGTAAGTCAGTGGTAAAGCTCCCCTGGGTTCAATTCCTACTACAAGAAGGAGGAGGAGGAAGAGGAGGAGGAGGAGGAGAAGGAGGAGGAGAGAGGAGGAGGAGGAAGGAGGAGAAGGAGGAAGAGAAGAAGAGTTGCCCTGGGGTGGGGAGGTAGAGCTCGATCTGCACCAAGGCTACCTGGGGGCACCCTGGTGCCAGCCGTGAGTACTGGCAAGTATGGAGGGGCTCCCGGAGGACAAACACAGAATCCTCTGTGTGGTTACTTTGCTGCTATAGCAGGACAGGATGAGCAAATAGATACTGCTGAATTGCAGAGATGTCTGCCATAGTTGTGCATTGCTGGAGGATACAAACCTTTTTTATTTATTTATTTAATTAATTATTATTATTTTTTTTTTTGAGGATACAAACCTCTTAACCTGGTGACTTGTCAGCTTGCAATTTCAATGGTGGATATAGACAGGTTTGGCATGATGGGCTTCAATGAATTTAAAGAACTCTGGGCTGCATTGAATGGCTGGAGACAACACTTCATCAGTTTTGATGGTGGTAGGAGTAGAACCGGGGATCCTCAAGAATTGCAGAAGGCACTAAGGACAACAGGCGCTGAGGCGACTCCCCAAACTGAGTTCAATTGCAAAACAATACAGCACCAGTGGAAAGATCACCTTAGACGACTACATGCCCTTCTGTGTTGAGCTGAGGGCTCTCACAGAGAGCTTTTGAAGAGGGGACGCTGGGCAGCAAGGTGTTGTGATTTTCCTTTAGGATGATTTCATTTAGTTGTTTCCTGACTGTCTAAGAGGAAGCTGTAGGACGGAGCATGCATTCTCTCTGGAGTCTGCATTTGCTAACTCTTTGCCTTCAGCAACATGTAAACGTACATGGCTACTTCCCCTGACAGCTATTGTAAAGGTTTGTAACTGTATACACAACTGAAGGTTTGTTTGTAGTTTTGATAATGAATTCTTTGGAACTTGATAAGGCCAAGTCTGTTATACCAATTAGAACTCCTTGAGCTATTATCAATCATGCTTTATTTTCCTGCTAAAGCTCTTTTATGTAAATCTGAGTGTGCAAAATGTTTAAGTCACATTATAGACTTTACATTGTGAGACATGTAAAGCTTTTAATGAAGCTACAGGTGTTATCTTTCCTAGGAGAATGTGGTTGAAAGTTTTGTGTATGGAATATTCTTATGAAATGGTGCATGCCCGTTTGGATACACAAAATAAACAAACGTGGTATTCCATGTCAGGGTTCACTGAAGTAGAAATTTAGCTCAGGCTTTTGATTGATACATATATATTTTTTTATATAGAAGACAGTTTAATGTTTTTTTTTATTAAGACAAAGAATAAACAGTAGGTCAATGACAAAGTTGTGAATCTGCTTCATGTGAGGCCATCCTTACATGTAACTCTTATTTGATTGAAATAAAATCTAAAGCAAACATAAAATTAAAAATTATATTTACATCAGGAAGTGATAAAATCTTTTGGACAGAAGAGATACACATAGGTTTACACATGAATGCACAATCACATAGTTTACATAACTCAAAAACACTATATTATCACCCAATTATGGAAATCATATTCTGTATGCTGTTCAGCCATTGGTTGACTGATACATATTTTGATTGCTTTATAAATGGAAAGGGAACATTGAGTGATTATTTTCTGCCTCTTTTTTTTTTAGTTTATTTTCTGCCTCTTTTTTTTTTTAGTTTCTTTTTTAATATATGACAGCGGAGTGCATTACAATTCTTATTACACATATACAGCACAATTTTTCATATCTCTGGCTGTATACAAAGTATATTCACACCAATTCGTGTCTTCATACCTGTACTTTGGATAATAATGTCAGTCACATTCCACCATCATTTATAACCCCATGCCCCCCTCTCTTCCCCTCCAACCCCTCTGCCCTATCTAGAGTTGTCTATTCCTCCCATGCTCCCCCTCCCTACCCCACTATGAATCAGCCTCCTTATATCAAAGAAAACATTCGGCATTTGTTTTTTTGGGATTGGCTAAGTTCACTTAGCATTATCTTCTCTAACTCCATCCATTTACCTGCAAATGCCATGATTTTATTCTCTTTTATTACTGAGTAATATTCTGTTGTGTATTCGTGCCACATTTTTTTTTATCCATTCATTTATTGAAGGGCATCCAGGTTGGCTCCACAGTTTAGCTATTGTGAATTGTGCTGCTATAAACACTGATGTGGCTGTGTATTTTCTGCCTCTTTAAAAAACATATAGATAATTTGAGGGGCAAATACTGTTCCCAAGTCTGTCTTTGTCATCATGCTTTCAAACCTTTGTTAATTAGACTGAAGAATCTCGTATACTATAAACTTAACTGTGTAAAAAGAAAATGGATAAAAACAACTAAGAAAGTATGAAAATATTAGCTGTGGTTACTTTTGACTAATGAGATGGTAGGTGACTTTAATTTCCTTTCCACTTTTCAGTGTTTTCCAAATTTTCTGTGTACGCTTCCACTTTAAAGTCAGAAGATGTGTTTTTAAAATGCTGGTGACCCATGTTGACATGTCATGTGTTCGTGCTTTTAAAAATATACAGCAAAAGGACTGGAATGAGTGTCTCAAATGTTGATCTGGCCACTACCTTGTAAGGCAGATCATGAATTTGTTTTTCTTCCTTCCTACTACTTTCCCAAATATTCTCTAATAAATACTGTTTCATATATATATGAAAAAAGAAATATAATGGTGTGAGAAAATGCTCAGCAAGGCTAAACAAGACAAAAGTGAGAAAATAAAGCCATATGTAATATGGTCTTTTTATGTGTGTGTGAGTGATGCTGCGGATTGAATCCAGGGGCACTTTACCAGGGAACCACATACCCAGTCCTTTTAGCTAATTTTTTATTTTGAGACAGGATCTCTCTCTAAGTTACTTAGGGCCTCACTAAGTTGCTAAGGCTGGTCTTGAAATTGCAATTCTCCTGTCTCAGCCACCCAAGTCACTAGAATTATAGGCATGCACCATCACTTCTGGCTTGTAATATGATATTTATTTTTTTCTTTTCAGAACTGGGGATTGAACCCAGGGCCTTGCATATTCTAGGCAAGTGCTCTACCACTGATAAATATGGTCTATTTTTTTTAAAGTGAAAACTAAAAGGGAAAAAGACTGAAAGGAAGTGTCAAATGTTAACAGTGGCTGTCTCTTAGTAGCAGAATGATAGGCGTGTGACTTTTTTTCTTCTTAATAATTTGCAGTTTATCTAAAGGTTCATGACCAGGAACAGATGGTGGGTATAGCTCTGTGGTAGAGCACTTGCCTGCATGTGCAAGGTCTGGATTCCACTCTCAACACTACATAACACACACAAATTTATAACCAGAAAAAGGCCAAATGGCAACCAGAAGGTCAGTGCCAAAGGTATTTGCCAGATATCCCAAAGAAATGACTGAGAAAATCCAAAATACTGCTGTGACTCTGTTTCCATAGCACATCTGGTTAGCACTCTCCATGAACATGGTGTCCTCCCCTCTCTCCCTCACCTCGGGCTTTCCTGTCTGTTCACAGGGCCACATTGTCCACAACTGGAAGGTGCGATGGTTCATCCTTCGGCAGAACACACTGCTGTACTACAAGCTTGAGGGGGGTCGGAGAGTGGCCCCTCCCAAGGGCCGGATCCTCCTGGATGGCTGCACCATCACCTGCCCCTGCCTGGATTATGAAAACCGTCCGGTATGTGAAGGTTCCTGCTGTCCAGCTCCCCACCCCAGACACTCCTCACCTCTGGCTCTTTGGGAAGGTGGTGTGGGTAATGGGAAGAGCTCGGAGTTATAATTGAAAGACTTGGGTTCAAGTCATGGCTCAACCATCTCCCAGGTACCTGACCTCAGACCAGTAGTTAAACCTCTCTCAGTCATCATTGTCGTCTGTAAGATGGGATGAGATAATTACACCCAAATATCTCCTATGAAGATATGGGGATATGAAGACATGGTTTAGATGCTTTATGGAGAAAGGCATGGTGGCACACACCTGTGATCCCACTGACTTGGGAGACTGAGACAGGAGATCACGAGTTCAAAGCCAGCCTTGGCAAAAGTAAGGCCCTAAGCAACTTAGTGAGACCCTGTCTCAAAAAAAAAAAGGACTGGGGATGTGGCTCAGTGATTAAGCACCCCTGGAGTTCAATCCTAGTACAAAAAAAAAAAAATTGCAATAAATGAAACCCCTGAACTCATAGGTTAATTTGTTGACCTACCACCTCTTTTTTTGTGTATCTGTGGTATGGGAATTAAACCCAGGGGTGCTTTACCACTGAAATATACCCCTAGCACTTTTTATTTTTATTTTGAGACAGGGTCTCACTAAGTTGCCCAGGCTGGCCTTGAACTTGCAGTCTTCCTGCCTCAGTCTCCCAAGTAGCTGGAATTACAGGCGTGAGCCACCACTCCCAGCTAACTTGTTGACCTGATATCTCTTAATAATCTTTAGGAAACAGTGGAGAGCAGAGGTATTGGTAGATGGGATGGAGAGCAGTGGCACACACCTGTAATCTCAGTGACTTGGGAAGCCGAGGCAGGTGGAGCTCATGTTCAAAATTTCAAAAAAGAGAAAAAGGCTAAATTTTCTGGAGTTATGAGCTTCATGTTAATTCTACATAAAATTCTCAAGCGGATTTGTGATTTGCTTAGTTCATGAGTACTTGGACTAAAAGAGACTGAGAGTAGCCAACAGATCCACTAAGAACAAATCATAAAGTATATATAAAATTACGGAAGCTGTAATAAAGGGTGCACCTAGATTTTTTTTTTTTTAATTTCTAGTCTCTCCTGAAATTCTTTTCATTAAAATGGTTAATTGCAGACTGACTGTACAGGTTCTGGATCTGATTTCACTCTCTTCTTCCATGATACTGATGAGTGAATGTTAACTTGGAGGAATATCTTCATGGGGTTCCTTGGGGCCGTGAGCCAGCCATGCCTTATTCACCATTTTCACTGTTAGTTTAGGTGAAGAATATTAAGTTTGCAAGCAAAATAAGTTGGGAGTTGACATTTGGGAAGCAGAATCAGAATGAAGTAGGATGTTTCAGAAGTAGACCTGGCCTACTTGGATGACAAAGATCCCTCAACTTGTCAAAGAAACTCCTTAAATGCCCATTTAAATTAAAAAGTGCCAGGTGCAGTGGCACACACCCGTAATCTCAGTGATTTGGGAAGCCGAGGCAGGTGGAGCTCATGTTCAAGGCTAGCCTCAGCAACTTAGCGAGACCCTATCTCAAAATAGAAAATAAAAAGGGCTGGAAACGTGGCTCAGTGGTAAGCCCCTGAGTTCAATCCCCAGGACCAAAAAATAAATAAATGAAAGACTCTACAGTGCCCGGAGCTGCCCATACTCCTGTGCTCCCAGGCGGTAGCCTCTGATGTTTTGCACCCCTCAGATCCTGGAGCAGGGTATTCCATTCCGTGGGCCATCTGTGAGGGTGCTCAGTATGTGCAGAACACTTAGCAAGAGTGAACTGGTTGAGGGTTGGGGATGTGGCTCAGTGGTAGAATGGTTGCCTAGTATGCCCAAGGCCCAGGTTCAATCCCCAGCACTGCAAATATAGTAAACTGGTTGAGAAGGAGTGTAAACTATATCATATCATAACACAGAGCATGGAGTTGGGTTCTTGTTTCATGAATGTGAAGAATGAGAACCTCGGATACAAAGGTGAGAGTAAAATAATAAGTAATAATAATAATTATTGATACTATTATTAATAGTTATTATTAATAATAAAATAACAGATAATAATAAGTAATAATAATTACTTATTAGAGTAAGAGGAAGAAAGCAGAGCTCTCAAAGAGAGAGGGGTCTCAAGAGAGGGATACCAAAGAGTGACTCTTGTCTAGGAGTTTATATAGTTTATATAAGTTTAAGGAAGTCAGCCCCTGCCCAATCCTGGGTGTGGTGTTTATTGTCCATGAGGTACTCGTGCAGCCTTTAGGCCCATCAAAATATCCACCAGGCATTTCCCCTCTTTGGAGAGGCATGGATCCCAGTCACGTAGATCCTGATTTTAAAATAACCTTTTTGTAAGTTTCTTAGCAAATATCTGCAGGTGCTGATTGTGCTTTACTGCCCAGGAAGTTGCCCCGGGGCCCATCTCCCAGTCCTGCCTGCCTTATCTCTTTCTCCTGATGTCAGTGGAATGTGTGAAAGACCTGGGAATGTTTAAACTGGAGGGAAAAGAGGGTCAAAGGTGGTGTCACTAACAGTTTTATTCAAGGTGACCATTAGTAAGAAACTCAGACTCAGTGAGCATCTCTAGCTAAGGGGCAGAGGTGGGTCTTGGTCCCATTCAGCCTGGCTGCAGAGGCTGAATGCTTCCCATTTCAGTGCAAAGCTGTCGTGGGAGGAGAGACTGCGTGACCCCAGAGTCAGAATCAGGACAGTGTCCTGGAAGCAGTCCTTGTGCTGACTAATCTGCCCCAAGGGGAAAGGCTGCCTTAGGAGGCCATGAGCTCCCCACTGCTGGAAGTGTCTGAGCGAAGTTTCACAGACCACTGGGGTATAGACAAGGGGCCAGGACACAGGCGGTCACTGGACTACCCCACCTTGGCCCTGTCGTTTCTGCTGACCACGTGCTCTGGCCTGTTGTGCCTTTGAGTGCCGGTCTGACTCTTTCTTCCCACAGCTCCTCATTAAGCTGAAGACCAGAACTTCCACAGAGTACTTCCTGGAGGCCTGTTCTCGAGAGGAGAGGGACGCATGGGCCTTTGAGATAACAGGAGCCATCCATGCAGGGCAGCCCGGGAAGGTCCAGCAGCTCCACATATTAAAAAACTCCTTCAAGCTGCCCCCTCACATCAGTCTGCAGTGAGTGCCCTGCCTGCCCCACCCCTTCAGCCTCTGGCCTCTCTGCAGCCTCTCCTGTGTGTGTGCGCCCAGTGGGGAGGGGAGAGGTCTTTGGGGAGGGGGGCTCTGTGGTGCTACACAGGCCTGGCTGGGACCACCTTGTGCTTCAGGGCTGTCAGCTGTCCCTGTCTGGGTCATACTGACCTGGGAAGGAACTGAACCACTAGCCCCACTCCTATGTAACCTCTTAGAACTTTGCCACTTTTGCCCACCTTGTGAAGGAGGTAGAGACCCCCCCAACTCCATTTTAGACAGGTGCTCAGGGCTGTGTCAGTTTCTTAGGGCTCTCCACCAACCAGGTCACTGGTCTTTTTGTAGCCTGGTGGCACAGATGATGTTTTCTGGTAGCAGCTGCAGTCTTGCTGGGTGGGGGTTCCTCGTTCATTCATTCAACAAACTGTTACTGAGTACCTCACAAATATGTGCAATTATCATGTACCAATGTTTAAAATCAGAAAGAAAATAAATAGTTATTGAGTGCCTACTGCATGCCATGTACTGTGTTGGATGCTTAGCAGAGGCAGGTAGGAGTAAACAGGATCTCATCTCTGCGGCCTTCCAACCCCAATGTATACACATAAAATGAGGAAAGATCTTCTGTTGGAGGGAGTGATCGTCCCATAGAGCAGAAGGAAAGCTGATCAGAGGTGGAGGTGATAAAGTAGGGACGAATGTTGCAAACACTCCCAGGCAGCCAAACCCTCACACCCATCACAGATGAGGGATGTGGGCTGGGAATGCACCCCAGTGACTCAAGGGTAGAGCACTTGCCTAGGATGTGTGAGGCCTGGGTTCCATCACACACACACACACACACACACACACACACACACACACACACAGACATTGTGCGTCCATTCTGGGCTTTTAACTCCATGCCAGGCACTGAAACCTGGCCTGTGCACTTTCTGTGTGTCGAGGGGCTGGTAAGCCGTGGCACATGTGGGGAGGACTGGGTGGGTGGGTTGTGGCTGGATTCAGAGAGGCTCAGCATTGAGAAGTAGCTGGAGGATTTGAGCTGAATGCAGCAGATCATAGAGAACCGTGGCGGCTCCTGCACACTCATGTTTTGTGTCTTGCTGTCCTGGGGACTGAACCTAGGGTTTTGTGCATGCTAGGCAAGTTCTCTCCCACTGAGCTATACCCTCAGCACTATTGTTGCTTTTAAGTAAATCCACAGCTCTTTCGCCTCACTACAAGGGTAATGATTAGATGCCCTAGAAGAGAAATGTCTGAGAATCCTATCAGATTCTGATGCGTCATGGAAGGCCCCCTCCCCTCTGGTGTGTATCACACCCCTTGCCACATGCCTTATTCCCTGGCAGTGGCTCTTGGGCCCTCCCTTGAAGCTCTCTGTGACGAGGATCCTTCTCCTTTGCCTTCCTTCCATACCAGCCGCATCGTGGACAAGATGCATGATAGCAGCAGCGGGATCCGGCCAAGCCCCAACATGGAGCAGGGAAGCACCTACAAAAAGACCTTCCTGGGTGAGCCTGCCCATCCCAGGGGCCGGGCGAGGTGGTGGACACTTGGGACCCTTGGGACCCGGGGCTCAGTGGAGCGCTTGACTAGCCCATATTGAAACCAGAGCTATTTGCTGAGCAGTGGTCTGGCCTGAGATGGCCACATGAGTGTGGCCGCAGCTGTGTGTGGCCGGTGCAGCCTTCAGTCTGCTCTTGGCTAGAGCCCGAGTCTGCCTAGGAGGAGGGGGAAGGTCACAGATAAGCACCCTAAGGAGGGTGGGTGGGTGCCCGTGGTCTGATGGGTGCTGCCCTTGCCCTGATGCAGGCTCCTCTCTGGTGGACTGGCTCATCTCCAGCAGCTTCGCGGCCAGCCGTCTGGAGGCGGTGACGCTGGCCTCTGTGCTCATGGAGGAGAACTTCCTCAGGCCTGTGGGTGTCCGGAGCATGGGAGCCATTCGCTCCGGTGACCTGTCTGAGCAGTTCCTGGACGACTCCACAGCCCTGTACACTTTTGTAAGTTAGTGGGTCCCCTCTTGCCACCAGGGGAGAGGGAAGAGGCAGAAAGAATGGGCACAGGGAGAGGCCGAGGGTTGGGGACAGCTTTGTCTTTCCCCTGCAGCCCCAAGCCTGGGCCTGGGGCTATTTCTGTAGCACAGTCCTTGCTCCCTCCTTCCCACTAGGCTGAGAGCTACAGGAAGAAGCCAAGCCCCAAGGAAGAAATCAGTCTGAGCACGGTGGAGTTAAGCGGCTTGGTGGTCAAGCAAGGCTTTCTGTCCAAGCAGGTATGGCTGCCTTTGACAGGGAGGAGGGGGACGCTGAGGAGAGGCAGGAAGGAGCCCCTGGGGGGCACTGAGAATGCTAGAACACCCCCATTACCAGCAGGGTCTGCAGAGCAGTTGCAGAAGCCAGTCAGACCATCACACACCCAATCACATGTGTACCAGTTGTGGGGAGTATTCCGGAAACGCATAAACACATGGAATCATCACAGCACTAAAAAGCAACTTCTGGGCTGGGTGTGGTGGTGCACACCTGCAATCTGAACAACTCGGGAGGCTGAGGCAGGAGGATCACAAATTCAAAGCCAGCCTAAGCAATTTAGCAAGGCCTGAAGCAACTTAGCAAGGCTCTGCCTCAAAATGTGGTATATATACACAGTGGAATATTACTCAGCCTTAAAGAAGAGTGAAATTATGGCATTTGCTGGTGAATGGATGGAGCTGGAGAATATCTTGCTAAGTGAAATAAGCCAGTCCCCCAAAATCAAAGGTTAAATATTTTCTCTGATATGTGGATGCTAATTTACAATAAGAGAGGTGGCTAGGGAAAAATAGAGGCAGAGGGGAGTGAAGGGAGGGGAGCAGGTATGGGGGTTAGAAAGGATAGTAGAATGAATCAGACATTATTACCCTATGTACATAAATGATTACATGACTAGTGTGATTCTACATCATGTACAGTCAGAAGAATGAGAAGTTATACTCCATTTATGTATGATGTGTCAAAGTGCATTCTACTGTCATTTATTACTAATCAGAACAAATTAATGAAAAGAAAAAAAAGGCTGGGGATATGATTTAGTAATTAAACACCCCTGTGTTTAATCTCTGGTACCAAAAACAAACAAAAAAACCCTAAACAACTTCTGCATGATTGTTTCATTTCAAAAATTTGTGACCTGCTTCTTGCACAACAGGATCCCCGTCTGCGTTTAGGTTCTTTACCAGCCACACGACTGTGTGTTGACCCCAGGCCCCTGCTTCTGCTGAGCCTGACAGGAGTCCTTACTGAGGGCAGTACTGAGGCCCCTGGAGGAGCATGAAGAGGGTACAGGAGAGACTCATGAGTGTCTTTCAGGCCAGAGGCTAAAGAAGGTTTATGATCTAGGGTCTCAGGCCAAAGAGAGTCTTTCTCCACACACACATGCAGATTAACCTTTTACACATTTAGTTTTTATCGCGTTCTATAATGGATTGCTTCTTTTTCTGATGCAGAATGTAATGGTGGTTTTGCTGTAGATGTATGCATGTGTAAAAAATGCACAAATATACATGCAGCTGTAGTTTGTTTTTGAACTAAGTTGACCATTAAAAAGCTGGTGGGAGTTGGTGGCCTTGGGTTCAGGTTGACACCTGCTGCCTCTGTCCCTCTCTTTTGCACCAAGTAATGTCAGGATAATGCAATCCCCTTCCTTTTGATGCCAACTGTCCTTGGCTCTGTCAACTAAATATGAGGGTGTTTTTACAGGAGGCTCACTGAACAGGGGGTCATGTCATGTGAAGTCTGTGACATATCATTGCAATCTTCAGGTGTCCTGTGGACTGTTATTATTTACTTATTTTTTATTTTTATTTTTGACTGGGGATTAAACCCATGAGTGCTTTATCATTGAGCTACATTTTATTTATTTATTTATTTAAAGATTTAAAAAAAATTTTAGTTGTAAGTGGACACCACACCTTTATTTTATTTGTTTATTTTTATGTGGTTCTGAGGATTGAACGCAGGGCCTCACGTGTGCTAGGCAGCGCTCTACCACTGAGCCACAACCCCAGCCCCACATTTTTTATTTTTTATTTTTAGGCAGGGCCTCGATAAATTGCTGAGGCTGGCCTTGAACTTGCCATCCTCCTGACCCAGTCTCTTGAGTTGCTGGGAATACAGGCAGTGCCACTGTGCCCAGCCAGACTCTTTTGTTTTTAATGTGGTTTTTATTGGGGTAGGCTGGCTTGTTGGGGTTTGGTGCAGGGAAGTGGAAGAAGATGGAGAGCTGTCACCAAGGACCGTGGATCCGTTTCTTTGCTGCAGGGTCACAAGAGGAAAAACTGGAAGGTGCGACGCTTTGTTCTGAGGAGGGACCCTGCTTTCCTGCATTACTACGACCCAGCCAAAGTGAGTGCCGTGGCTCCCTGGGTGCCCTGCTGCCTCCAGACACCTCCCAGCAGAGCAGCGGCCCGATTCCTCCCCTCACCCTGCAGGGCCAGCTGCTCCTTCCTCTCCCTGTGCGGTCGCCTGCACAGCGAGTGGATTCTTCTGTGCCCACCTCTTACTATGGAAAAGCTTCATTATTTTGAGAAGAAAAACATCTTTTACTTTCCCTAAAGCCTGCTTCCCAGCCTCTTCCCCCTTTGCCATCTGAAGAGCCCATGGATTCTGCCTCTTCGACTCCTTGTTCTCCCCTATGCTTTGAAACATTTCTTTCGTTCTTTTCTCTTTTTTTCTTTTTTGTGTGGTACCTGGGACTGAACCCAGGGGCATTGTGTCACTGAGCTACATCCCCAGCTTTTTATTTTTCATTTTGAGACAGGGCCTTGCTAAGTTGCTGAGGCTGGCATCAAGCTTGTGATCTTCCAGCCTGATCCTCCAGAGTCCCTGGGATTGCAGGCATGGGCCACCATTTCTTTTATTTTCTTTCTTCCTGTTCTTTCCTGGTTTTCTTTCTTTTTTTCTTTCTTGTACTGGGGATTGAACTCAAGGGTGCTTTACCATGGGGCTACATTCTTTTCTCCAGTTCTTTTTATTTTGAGACAGGTCTTGCTAAGTTGCTGAGGCTGGTCTTGAACTTGCAATTCTCCTGCCTCAGCCTCCCAGGTTGCTGGGATTACAGGGGGCGCCACTATGCCAAGCTACTCCATTTCTTTTTATTATATGTAAGCCATAATTTACTTGTTTTCTTTTTTTTTTTTTTTTCATAGATCCAAGAATTGCTTGCTCTGAATTTCAGAAAATAAGTAGAGCCTCATGCTGAATTGATCTAAAAAAAAAAGAATGGTCTTATAGTCAAGGCAGGCCGCTCAGCCTTATCTTGGTACATGTATGATTTTCATTTTTTTTTGAGATAATGAAGAGTGGTTGGGTTGTAGTGGCTCACACCTGTAATCCCGGATACTCTCCGGGTTGAGGCAGGAGGATCACAAGTTCTAGGCCGGCCAGGGCAACACAACTTAGTGAGACCCTGTCTCAAAATAATAAAAGTGCTAGGACGTAGCTCAGTGGTAGAGTGCTTTCCTAGCATGAAGCTTTGAGCTCAATCTTTAGTGCCCCCAAAACAAAACACAAAAACACAAAAAGTAAAGAGTTTCAGTCAGGAACCCCTACCCTAAACACAGAGCTGGTAAGAGCCTATGGTGCTCTGTCAGGCCATAAGGGGGGTCAAGGACCAAGGAGGGACATGGCAGGAGGGCTGCCTGAGGGGTCAACCAATGAGCCTTCCAGATGCACAGTTGAAGCTGGGTGTGGTGTACTCGCCTGTAATCCCAGGTGACTCAGGAAGCTGAGGCAGGCGAATTTCAAGTTTGAAGACAGCCTCAGCAACTTAGCGAGGCCCTAAGCAACTTAGTGAGAGTCTGTCTCAAAATAAAAAATCAAAAGGGCTGTGGATGTGGCTCAGTGGTAAAGTGCCCCTGGATTCAATCCCCAGTATCCAAAACACAAAATAACACCAACACCTTCTTCAAACAACAACAACAACAAAAACCAACAACAAAACCCCACACATTGATCTCAAGCCTACTTATAGGATAAAGGTCAAACTTCTCTGTGGCTACCTCAAGTCCTTTTTTTTTTTTTTTTTTTTTCACTGCTGGGGAGGGAACCCAGGGCCTCAAGCATGTGAGGCAAGTGCTCTACCACTGAGTGACACCCCTAGCTCATCAATTTTTTACAAAGCTGGGGGCGGGGGAACAATCAACAAAAAGAATAAAATAAAACTTCAGTTTTGCCTTAACTCAGTCCAAGGGACAACTACTGTCCCTTGATGAATTTACAGAAGCCCAGTCAGCATTCCTTAAAGACAATTTAATTTCTCCCTGGCTCTCTGCACGGGCTCTCTGCCCATTGCCGCACCCAGGGCTCACTTCTCAAGGTTGATTCAGGTCTTCCCCCAGAGGCTGCCCTTGCTCCGTCCCTCTAGGTGTGGATCTCCTCTTCCTCTGGACTGTCCCTTCCTTAGCATGATCAGTATCATCATCTCTGGCATTGTTACTTAACCATTTCATTTTTGCCCTATTTCTTGCTGCCTACACCACTTATTGTGAAATTCATTATTGATTAATTGAAGGGACCCCGGGGGCTGAGGCTCCTGATGTGTAATTGTCTGAACCATTCAGAGATACGACAAGCCACTTTTGCTTCATTCAGTTTCATATCCACCATGTACCAGAGACTTGTATAACCCTGTCTCCTATGCAGGAATATCAGTGTTCAGAAGTATGACTATGTCTTTTTCTGATTGCTTGGCAAGACACACAAGAAGGTTAAGGAACTGGTGCATGTTTCTCCTGGTAGTACTGGATCAGAGGCTCAGTTTGAGATATCTCCAAGAATGAAACAGATTGATATTTAACTCTGCTAGACCTGGTGACAGAAATGTTGGTGGCACTCCTGCTACTGGGTATGAAAGGAAGAGGCCCAAACTTCCTTACTGGTAGTAACTTGGACACATGATGCCTCAAATTTAGCCTCATCTATTACAATTTATCGACTCCCTCGGTGCTGGGAATTGAACCCAGCAGGCAAATGTTCAACCACTGATCTACACCCCCCGCCCTACACATAACTTGGAATCCTTCTTTAACTGTCCTGAGGATGATTATAGGGGAGAGTGCAATTCTTCCTTTTTGTGCGTTCGCAAAATTCCTAATTAGATCTCTTTTTCTCTGCAGGAAGAGAACAGGCCAGTGGGTGGGTTTTCTCTTCGTGGTTCACTGGTGTCTGCTCTGGAGGACAATGGCGTTCCCACTGGTAAGGTGCAGCTTCAGTCCTGGCCTGAAGATCTCAGGGGCCTTCCTCTGCATTTCAGTAATCCCCCTCTCCTGCCATGGAAGACTGAGCTCTGGGTGCTGAGTAGGGCTTTAATCAATGAGACAATGAATGGTGTGAGTTTTGAAGTCAATTTCAGAAACAGAGGAAAAGTCCATATGGCATGTTCTTAAGAGTTTTAAGGATACAACTCAATATTTCTCATTTTAAATATTCTCTTTCCTCACATTCTGTGATTGCCCATAAACTCCTACCTATGAATCATAGCTCGGCTCCCACGGTGCTTCATTTAGTAGCGCACTTTTGTATCTGTTATCACATTAATTCTACAACAGACAGCTATGGTAGGAAGATAGTCCCATTTTGTGGATGTGGAAATTGAGGTTCAAAGTCATACAATTTCAAGTCAGACACCGTATTCTGTGCCTGCTCTTAACTTTCACATACTGGATTCTTGGATGATTCTTTGAATGACACTGTAGGTCTGTGGCTAGCATAAGGGGCCAGAGAGGATTTCCAGGAAATGTCCAGACTAACCAATAGCAGGCCTTAAGGTGATGAGGAGGGAGAAGGAAGGAGAAGGCAAAAACATGCACCTCATGGGATTTTCTAACCATGTACATAAGAAATATTCCTATTTGTTCCTTTCTCAGATGACTTTCATCTGGTTCAAGCTGAAAGTAGACATGGATATTTAATCACTGATTAATTTTTCCTACCTAGGGGTTAAAGGGAATGTCCAAGGAAATCTCTTCAAAGTGATCACTAAGGATGACATACATTATTATATCCAGGCCAGCAGCAAGGCTGAACGAGCAGAGTGGATTGAAGCTATCAAAAAGCTGACATGACAAGACTCTTGGGGAGCAGGACCAGGATTCCTTCCTCCTACCAGATGATAGACAGGATTTCCTGAGAATGGAGTGTGTAAATACTATCATGTTGGGCTGGGGATGGAGCTCAGTGGATCTGGGTTTGATTTCCAGCATCAAAAAAAAAAAAAAAAGTTTAACATTATACATTTTGCACTGCTTTGGAGTGAGACTGCTGGAGTGAATTCCTCAGGTGCCAGTGGTGGTGCTGTTTCCTTCTCTATTTTCCCATTACCAACCTGGAAAGCTATTCTAGGACAGCCATTAGGCATCAGTATCTTGACTTCTGCCCATCAGGATAGACAGCTATGTCCTTGGATCCCTTTTTGGAACTCTCTGTATATTTAGTTTTTTTTTAATGTGGTGCTGGGGTCAAACCCAGTGCGTCATGTATCCTTTTTGAAACTCTGGCCATTCTGTAATAAATAAAATTCTACTCTTGAAGTAGCTTTCTCTGAAATGTCAATATCTTATTTTTTTCAAATGCAAATCAACATTTGTTTCTGCTTTTAACTTCTAAACAAAGTTTTATAGTTTTCAAAGGTTTCATAAGTTGAGTATGGAAACATTTCAAGTGATCTGTCACTAAGACTTTTTTTTTTTTTTTTTTTGCCCAGGAGCATTCTACCACTGAGGTACATTACTTTTTGAACTGCAAATTGAATCCAGGGGTGCTTTACCACTGAGCTAAACCTCCAGTCCTTATTTCTTGAGACAGGGTCTTACTGAGTTTCTGGGGCTGGCCTGGAACTGGTGATCCTTCTGTCTCAGCCTCCTTGGGGTTATAGGCCTGCACCTCCATTCCTGGAGAAACTTTGGTTTTAGAATGAACACTGAGACAAATAGGTACCAACGAACACCCCCAGTTGGGAGATTAACCTAAAATAGTGAAAAGTCTGTATCATAGTATTTTTAAACAACATTTTTATTATTTTCAAGTTTATACAGTGATCTGGCATAAGCCATTGCCAGTGTTCTTGCCAAGTACAAGTGCTTGGACTTCAATGAATAAATAAAATATGTAACCTATATTTAAGGGGAGTGGCTACTTCCATAGTGCTTAAATAAAAACTTGTCCTCTTAAGACTGAACCGTCTCCTCTATTAATTTTGTCCCATAATAACTGACCAGGATTGGGGAGTCCAAGCTGTTTTACCTTATTCCTACCCTTTAAAGCACCATTTTCTATTTGGCCTTTTGCTAATGTCTAAAGTCTATTGAATTTTATTGCTTTAAAACAATTTTTAAAAAGCGTTTATTGCTTTTTGAGTATTGATTGGTGCTTATCTGAATTAAAGTACACTTGGTTTAATGACTGCCCAATCTCAAAATTGGCACAATGGTGCCTTTACATGGGAAATAGGATTTCTAAGAATTGGAAAGTAGGTGACCTTCAGCTTGAGGCAAATCAGCGAAATGGTACTAGCATTAAAGCTTCTTAAAAATCCCTACCATTTAAATTGTTCTTGATGTACACGTGAATTATAAATGGCTGAAGTATGCCAGCTGAGTAATAACTCTGCTTAGCATGATAGTGATTAACATCTCTATAGCTCCCCAAAGTATCTGAACATTGTATAAGAATCAGCTTGTCTTGCTATAAAATCCATAAAAATAAAAGAAGTTCAAACCTTTCTATTTCCTTTTCACCATTTTCAATTAAGGTATGCACAAACAAGACTCAACCTGTTGCTAATTTGGTTGTCAGAACTAACCATTTGACCACAGAGGCTGAGGTGGAATAAACAGGTAACCATGAATATTTTCAATGAAAAGGCTTTGGTGGAGAATCAGGATTTGGATAGGCTGCTCAACTGTCATTGTCTGTCCTGTTAGAGTTGTTCAGGAATATGTTGTTTACCTTGTCCTCATGTATCTTGTCCTTGTTTTAAGTCAGCATATAGACACTTTAGTTTAGTCTGTTCTCGTCCTCTTATCAGTGAAACACTGATCCTTTCTTTGGCTAGGGTCAACAATTTACAAAATTGTTGCAGAACTGAGCAAAAGGCCCACATAGGATTAAAAAAAAAAAAATCAGTCACCATGGAAACCACCAATATTTTCCAACAGTTATGGCTTTCAAAGTATGAAAACTTCAGTAAACAAAAAAAATTCAATTTCCATGCATACACCAAAGGAGCACCTGTTCATTTTGATGCTAGGAATTTTTATAAAACTTTCTTTGATGTTTCAAATATAGAAGTAAAAATTTTGTGTCAATCTTTAATACATCCAGATTCTATTCCCCATGTGGCATGTTGGCTGGCAAACTTCTTGGAATGGGCCATCTGAAGTTAAGTCTTTGTATTAAAAAGCTCACACAACCTGACAAAGTAAACAAACGGACTAACTTTCATAATTGGCAGAAACTCTTTCACCAATAAATTCTCCTAAGTATTTTCTAGTCAGTTCCCCTTAAAAAAAAAAAAAAAAATAGGATCATACTTTGTTGCCCAGGTTGGCTTCAAACTCCTAGGCTTAAGTAATCCTCCTGAAGCAGGTCTGACTATAGCTGTACACTAGAGCACCCAACTCCAAAAGCTTTAATGAGTTACATCTAGTCCTGGGTTGACTAGGATGAGTTAAGATTGATCTGCAGTGTTTTGTTTTGTTTTGTTTTTGGCACCAGGGATTGAACCCTGGGGCACTTTACCACTGAGCCACATATATTTAGAGACAGGATCTTGCTGAGTTGCCTACGGCCTTGCTAAGCTGCTGAGACTGGCTTTAAACATGAGCCCCTCCTGTCTCAGCGTCCTGAACCACTAGGATTATAGGTGTGCACTACCGCGCCCAGCTGACCTATGTTTTAATAGATGTTCTTAGGGCTAGCAGTAAAGTTCAATAACTAGTACCTCAAATATCCTAAGAGATTAAATCTACAAACACACCAAAGTAAATCAAGATTTTCTACACCCGACTACTGTAGCTGTACCATCAGATATATTACCTGTGAAATTAATTTTGTGCATATACTTTTATAACAACTAGTTCTTGAAGATAAAATGTAAAAAAAACCCCAAAAAACCCACTATAACTGCATTCAGACAGATCTATATTCTGTTATAAAGAGAACCAAAGATCTATGTGGTACCTAGCAGATATTTTAAAGGGGGTGAAAAAATATCAAAAGTTGGGTAATGATACTCAAAATAAGTAAATCAAAGAAGCAGCATCTTTAAATACAAACATACTTTACCATCTTGAATCAAACTCAAGCCAAGTGGTTAGTAGATCAATAAGGACCCAGTATCATAAACTCTCCTAACCACAAGTTGTCATCAATCTCAAATAGGTTAAAAGGCACATAACAATGTCATTCTTTAATTGCATTTTAAGGCTTTACACCCTCTAAGGGTCAATATCACTGTGATTGAGTTAAAATCATTTTCTCTTAAAAGGGTTTGTTGTACATATCCTTTGATAACTTGCTCTTATGTTTCTGCATCTAGACCAAAATAAAGATAAAAGAATTAGGGTCTTATCATTCAGAATGCTTTTAACTGGTGACAAGAAGGAAGAGGCCTATAGTTAAATATCCCAGAAATTTATTTGATGTTTGCTTTAATACATTTTATATAGAAAGATTGGGATTGTTATTGTTTATTTTGGGGGCCCCTGGTAAATCTCACGGAGGCACTGAACTACAAAGGGTGCCAATCTGGAGACATCAGAAATGGAAATCACAAGCCCAATTTTAGGACTGTTCTAAGCTCAAAGATTTTCTCTCGTGAAATTGGGCTGCTCCCTTAAAAAACGTGTCAGAGTTACTGTGTGAAAACAGCTGACATTTAGGAGGACATTTCATGTTTTACAGTGTTGGAATACTTAAATACTTGGAAATAAAAAATATTCGGCTTTGAAGTTTTCAATACTGGAAAACTGTCAAGTCTAGGGTTTACAGCCAAGTCATGTTCCTCAAATTAGACTATGCTTCCCACAAAGTTAATCTTCAGCTTTTGCTTCCATTTCTTCTGCATCATCATCTCCATCCACTTCTGCATTTTCTCTCTCAAGCCTCTCCAGCTGCCTTGCAAGTTCAGTCTCATCTGTATCTGTGACCACCTTGGGCTGTGGAAGCAGAGGCATAATTTCAAAGTGAAGTAGTTAAATAGCAAATTCAATTTCAATTTCAATACTACCATTGCTTAATGTTTTAACTCTTTTCCCTGCCCCAGTACTGGGGATTCAGACCAGGGCCAGTCTACCATTGAGTTACATCCCCAGCCCTTTTCTGAATTTTACTTTGAGGAGGGTCTTGCTAAGTTACCAAAGTTAGCCCCGAACTTGTGATCCTCTTGCTTCAGCCTCCTGATTAGCTTGGATTACAGGTGTGCACCTGGCTAATTTTAACTCTTAAAAAAACCTTTCCTTTCTTAACAACTGTCATATCTATTCACTTTTGAGTGTTGACTTAACACTAACAAATTCTACTAGTTAAAAAATAGAAGAAATTTGAGAAGTACAAGAAAAAGAACTGTGTATTAAAATGGAACTTTATTTTCCATCATCTTTATAATCTAAAACTGTTATCAGTGGATATTACTCCAAGACCAAAAATGTCTTACAAAGAATGTATCTTCTGGGCAAAATAAATTACTGTTCCTTTTCAGAGAAAGAATCATACATATATACACACAAGTACATAGTATGGAAATTATGTTTCAATTCTTGTTGAGCTGAGGGAAAGACAAGAGCTTATTCCTAATTCTAAGGTCCAATTTTAAACATCCCACATTCAAATTCTAACAATAAATTTCTCATTTCTACTGTCTATTTTCTCATTTCTACTGATGTAACATCATCAGTGAATGTAGGCCTGAATGTCCATCCCACAAAAACATTCTAGTGCTGATAGTTCTTATTTATCTATAAAGCCCTTTTTAGGAACTCTCTGAATCAATGATCATTCTATATTTAGTAGATTTACAATCCTAAATATATTCAAAAGGCAGTGATCAGGTATTTTGGAATAAAAATCATTTAAAGGTGACTCAAGTTTCCTACAAACTTTAAGAACAAAGGAAAAATGAAAGCACTGAACTCACCTCCATTTGAACATTGAACACACCCCTCTTTTCCTCAATCTTTTCTTTGATAACAGCCATAGCTTGATTGAGGACAGAGAGACCTTCTGTCCTCTCCAGGGTTGTCGTGGTCATCACATACCGAGGAGGAGCTATTAGATTAATCTAAAGAAGACAAAAACTCAATTATGAATGTACCTATACAACACAACTACTAAGATGTTTGAGGATTTGTTTATTAATCTCCTGCACTAACAAATCATCCCAAAACTCATCTCTCAATTCTGTAGGTTAGCAATTTGGAATGTTTATTAATGTAGCAAAAGCTAACTGATATAATGATATTATCTAGTATCATGATACAGTCCACTACAAGACTATGAAAAATTATGATTTGGGGGTCTATGGTGGCTGACCTAAGTATAGTTATCATTAGCACAATGGTGCTAACTGCCTCTAAACTGAAGAAATCCTTAAGACATTCAATTTTAAGAACATAAAACATGATCTTTCTCATGTGTAGTGCTGGGGATTCAACCCAGGGCCTTGGGTGGAAGAAGACTCACCTTGATGGGCATTGTTTCTGTAGAACAATTCAAACCTGCTCTCAGGGCTTCTTTTACAGCATCAATGCCTTCATAACCATAACAAGCCACTTCAATATCTAAAATTATAAAAATCCAAAAACTGATACCAAAAACACAAGAAACATTTAAAGGTTTAAAAGAATCAGAGATATAGCAAATGTACTAGCATTCAAATGCTTATGAAAAGGTCCATCATCCTATCAATTAGAAATCAATCCCATTAATTTTCACAATTAAAAATATTCGAATATGTAGTAAAACTATCTTCTCATCTATATTAAACCACCTAATAACAAAACTATAGAAGACAAATTTAACAAACACTTTAATAGAAACCTGTCTAGAATTGCTTAGGAATTGCTATTTGACCTAGCAATTCTTAGGAATTAGTCCTAAAGAAAACTATGTAAATGAGTAATTTATGAAATATTATCCAGCTATCAAAAAGAACAAGATTCTTATGCTCTGCAAGGAAAGGTACCAGTGACAACAGAAAAAGTTAGGTGGTGGAAATTCTACATGGTATGATTCAAGTTTTGTAAACAAAAATTATATATGACTGTAGACCACTTTTTTGGGGCGTGATGGTGATTGTGGTGGGGAATGAACTTAGGGCCTCTTGAAGCATGCACTCTACTATTGAACTACATCCCTACTCCTAGTGTATGTTCTTATATAGTATTTGTATAGAAAAAAATATCTCAAAGAAAATATTTCCAGCTATTAGCAATCATTCAGTCCAGAATCAGTCTATTGAAATATTTTTTTTTTTTTGCTGGGCGCGGTGATGCATGTCTGTAATCCCAGAGGCTGAGACAGGAGGATCACAAGTTCAAAACCAGCCTCAGCAAAAGCAAGGCACTAAACAACTCAGTGAGACAAAATTGGGCTGGGGATGTGTCTCAGTGGTAGAGTGCTCCTGAGTTCAATTCCTGGTATTAAAAAAAAAAAAATTTTTTTTTTTCTTTTTCACCCATGGTGCTAGGAATCAAATCCAGGGTCTTGCACACACTAGATAAAGTACTCTACCACCAAATCACACACCCTACTTTAAAAAGAGGCTAACCTCAAGTTAGCTGGACTCATGACAACAATATATACATTTTATGACTCTGAACAAGCAAAAATAACTTCTTGGACTGGGAATGCAGCTCTGTAGTAGAGTGTTTGCCTAGAATGCAAGGGACCCTGGGCTTGATCTCTAGTACTGGAGAAGGGGAAAAGCACCCAAATCTCAAACTTTTCTTATTGTAAAAAATATTAGAATAATTTATACTCGTAGATGCAGAAACATACTCCTTGATAAATCAAATTACTTAACAGCTTTTTTGGAACATGCAAAATATTTTAAAAAATTATTTAGGAAGTCAATTACCTGCTCGAATTTTGACAGCTTGTGGGGTCAAACGCCTATTAATATTGTTAATAAGTACTTCCCGTTCATCTTCATTCAAATCTAAACTATCCAAAATAGATGGATCTCTGATTAAAAAAAACAAAAACAAAACAAAGGGCAAGGTTACAACATCGATAGTTATGAACCATGACACAATACACCACAGAACAATGCATGTAACAATAAAGCACTGGCTTCAGTGTCAGAATTAGAGTTGAAAAGCTGGGCATGGTGTTATATGCCTGTAATCCCAGTAACTTGGCGGGGTGAGGCAAGAGGATCACCAAGTTTGAGGCCAGCCTCAGCAACTTAGCAAGATCTTGTCTAAAAAAAAAAAAAAATCATGCCTATAAGAATGGTAATACCTTAACAAGCAAAGGGAAAACAGTTACAGAAAGTTATGATAGATAAGGAATGGCATGAGTAAATATCAGGTCTGTATAACATGGGGTATAGTTAGGATGCTGAAGGAAGACAAATGAATACAAAGTTGGCAAATGACATATGTTTCATAAAAGAAGAATCATCTATCAATAAATTATCAATAAACGTGAAAAGCTGCTAATAACAATATGCATGCTCACCAATAATCAGGATCATGCAAATCAAAAGGTATTAGCAAAAGGAAAAAAAAAATCTTGAGACACACACCAAATGGTGTTGAGAATAAGGGGATATAGGAATATCTACAAAGTTGTTAGAGGGAATTCAAATTAGAGAAACAATCTGAAGAGTAATTTTGAAAATCAAATCAATAATAAGAATACACGTGTATGTGTGTGCGCACATACTCACACCTATGCACACATAATCTGATGACTTGAAAATTCCATTCCTGTGTACATATCCTAGAAACATGTACACATGTACATGGATATTCACCATAATACTGCTTGAAAATAGAACGAAAGAAAAAACCCCCTAAATATCGCTTAATTTTTTTTTGGTACTGGGGATTGAACCCAGGGGCACTTTACACTGAACCACATCTCTAGTCCTTTTTTTTTTTTTTTAATTTTATTTATTTATTTATTTATTTATTTGAGAGAGAGAATTTTTTACTATTTATTTTTTAGTTTTCAGTGGACACAATATCTTTATATGGTGCTGAGGATCGAACCCAGCGCCCCACACATGCCAGGCGAGCCCCCTACCGCTTGAGCCACAACCCCAGCCCATCTCCAGTCATTTTTATTTTTTATTTTGAAACAGGATCTCACTAAGTTGTCCAGACTGGCCTTGAACTTAGAACACTTGTGGTCTAAGCCACATAAATCACTGGGATTACAGGTGTGTGCCATTGTGCCTGGCTAAATATCTCTTAATAGAGGAAAGACAAAGACAAAATGAAATATTATATGGAAATTAATATGGATGTAGTAGGTATACATCTATTTGAAGAAATTCTGCTCAGTAAAGCCTTATAAGGCAAAAAGATACAAGAGATTAAATGTTAAATATACAAATTATTCTACGTGACTTTTATGGATATGTGTACACGTTGCAAATCCCTTATCCAAAATTCTTAGAACCAGAAGTGTTGTAGATTTTTTTCAGATTTTGAAACATCCGCATATACGGAATACAGTATTTTAAGGGAGGGGATCCAAGTCTAAACATGAAATTCAATTACTTTTCATATATATCTTACACATATATCCTGAAGGTAATTTTATATAGTATTTTTAGTACCTGTTTTTTTTGGAGTGTGTGTGTGAGGTACTGGGCATTGAACTCAGGGGCACTCAACCACCGAGCCACATCCCCAGCTCTATTTTGTATTTTATTTAGAGACAGAGTCTGGCTGAGTTGCTTAGTGACTCACTTTTGCTGAGGCTGGCTTTGAACTCGCCTTCTGAGCCACTACGATTACAGGCATGTGCTATTGCGCCTGGCAGTGTACCTAGATTTTGACTGCATCCCATTACAGGAGATCAGGTGTGAAATTTTCCACTTGTGGCTTCATGTCTGTGCTTTAAAAGATTCAGATTTTGGGGTATTTTAGATTTTTGGATACAGGATGCTCAATGAAATACAATGAATACAATGAAACCATAAAAACAAAATGATAATGATACACACTAGTAATTTCAGAATAGAGGTTACCACTGATACATGAGGGGAATGGGTCTAGAGAGGAAAAGCACTGTTTCTAATGATTTCAGAAGTTTAATTTCTTAATTAAAAAGAAAAACATGGAGCACACACAGCAAAGAATCAGCATTAGTTAAACCTGGGGAACTGCTACACAGGTTGATGAAGCAAGAGAAGAGTAAAAGGGAGTAATACATGCCAAGGCTTAATGGTAATGGAGGAGGTGCTGGAGACAAAAGCTAAAGGGGCAAGCTAGGACCAGTGATGACAGTGAACCAGAAAATATACTGACTGCCTAGGTGTGGTGGCACACACCTGTAATCCCAGCAATGCTTAGGCAGGAGGATTCTAAGTTTGAGACTAGCCTCAGCAACCTGGAGAGACCCTAAGCAACTTAGTGAGACCTGGTCTCAAAATAAAAAATACAAAGGGGCTGGGGGTTTCACTCAGTGGGTTAGGGTTCAATCCCTGGCCAAAAAATAAAATAAAATAAAAAATAAAAGACTGGGCTGGGGATGTAGCTCTATGGGAGAGCACTTGCTGGGCATATGTGAGAATCTAGGTTTGATCCTCAGTACCATAAAATAAAAAAAAAAAAAAAGTAAAAAAAAAAAAAAAAAAAAAAAGAAAGAAAGAAAGAAAGGAAAAAGAAAAAAAAGGCTGGGCATGGTTGGCATGTCTCCAATCTCTGTTGACTTGGGAACTTGAGGCAGAAGGACTGCATGTTCCAGGCTAACTCTGGCAACATAGTGAGAAACTACCTAAAAACAAAAAACGAACAAAAATGCTGGAGATATAGCTCAGTGGTAGAGCGCCCCTGGTTCACTCCCCTGTACTGCAAATAAAGAAATGAAAATGTACTGATCAAAGAGTGCAGAACAGAAGAATAAACAGTGCTTAATGGTTAACAGAACAAACTCTGGATGGAGCCACAATGTCTGGGATTGAATACTGGATCTATGATTTGTTGGCTTGGTTACCTTGAACAAATTATTTACTCTTTTCCTCAATTTCTTCAACTATACAGTAGGGATAATAATGGCACTAAACCACAGATTGTTAGAATTATGAGAAGTTAGCTATTATTATTATTATTCCCACCTTTCTACAATGTGATTAAAAAAAAAAAAAAGTCACATGAAGACAAACTGGAATGGTATGCTGGGGGCTCTACTAGATCCATCCAGGTCTTGCTCATCCACTCTAAAGTTTATACGATCAACACATCCTGGCAGCAAAAAGGCTGGAAAGTAATCTTAGTGGTGAGGCAGCTCTAGAGCATTAACATCTAGGAAGAACTAAGAGGTAAAGAAACAGAGACATCAACTACAGAAAACTGAAAGATTCTGGCTGCTAAATGAAAACAGTGCTTGCTAGAATTTGAGGGAAGGTCAAACATTTTTTTTTTTAAAGTATAAATCAAAGAAACCAGAGAATATTTTTATGCTGATGGAGCAAAATCAACAAAGGGAAAAGATGAAGATCAAAGAGGGAGTAACAGAAATCACTGAGCAGGAGCTGGGCACAGGGTAGCAAAGATTAGATTGAACAGGAAGGAAATGAATTCCAGGAGCACAGAAGAAAATAACAGGTAGGACAGAGATAAGTATGTTCATGATAGTGGGCATAAGTGGAGAAGTGTCATGGTTTGGATATGAAGTGTCCTCAAAGACCCATGTGCTAAACGCTTGGTCCTCAATGCAGCAATGGAGCTTATGAGAAGTGATTGGATCATCAGGGCTCTGATCCTGTCAGTGGGTAAATAATTTGAAGATATTATTGGGAACTATAGAAGTGAGACCTGGTTGGAGGAAAGTCACTGGAGGTATGCCCTTGGGATCTGTATCTTGTCCCTGACCCTTTCTTCTCTCTCTGCTACTTGGCTGCCATGAGGTGAGCAACTTTCTTCTGTTACACACTCCAACCATGATGTTCTGCCTCACCTCAAGTCCCAAGTCATGCAGCCAGTCAACCACTGACTGAAATCTCTGAACTCTTTCCTCCTCTGTTGTTTTTCTCAGGTTATTTGTCACAGTGATGAAAAGCTAACATGAGAAGTCCTTGTGCAATGGCTTCTATTTTCTTTGTAAAATAAAAAGGGAAGTGAACACACCAGCTAAGAGTGAGAGAAGAGAGGTAGAGTGTTTCTGACAAAGAACATAGAAAAGCTCTAAAACAGTCACTATAAAAATGGGAGGAAGAACTGACAAACAGCAGAGAGAATGTGAGGCAGCAGTGAAGATCCAGCAGAGGTTGGAAACCATGAATATACAGCGGCACCAACCTGTGAAACTGATTTTTCCTAGCAGCACTCAGCAGTCTATAAGTACACAGAAAGAAAGCAGGAACATCAGTCCAAGGCTGGATGTAACAGAAGGGAAAACAGGGCAAAAGCTCATGATATTGACAAGAAAGTTCTTGAAATGATAGTTCATGGCATCTACACTGGGTAAGAAAGAGAAAGCAGGAAAGGGTGAAAAGACAAAGAAAAAAAAAAAAACAGGTTTAGAGTAGAGAGTATAAACCTAGTGAGTATAACACAAAAAGGAAGTACACAATTTAGGGTCCTAAGACTTGGAATAAGCATTTATAATATAAGAATTTAAGAAACAGAGTAGGACTAAGTGGGAGCCAAGACAGAAAGAACAGAATATGCATACATGCCAAGGTGGCACACACTTGTAATCCCAACTGCGAGGGAGGCTGAGGCAAGAGAACTCCAAGTTCAAGGACAGGCTGGGCAACTTAGTGAGACTCTGTCATAAAATAAAATAGGGTTGAGGATGTGATTTAGTTGGTAGAGCACTTGCTTATCATGTGTGAGGCTCTGGGTTTAATTCCTAGTAACTAAAACACATGGGTGCACACAAATAGAATATGTGGATTAAAGGTTTTAGAGGCACAGCAAAACCTGCTGATAAAAAGGCCCAGAGTGAAACATGGAAGAATGGCTAAAATGGCATGGTTGAAGGTCAAAGAAATGAGGCAGAGTAAATAAGAAATTATAATTTTGGATGAGATATCCACACTGGTCTGAAGTCATCTATAATAAATAATGAAACCAGGAAATAAAAAATAATGTATAATGGAGTAGTGTTAGATGAAAGCAAATGGGTTATGAACTATATAACTATTGTATATGAAATTACAAAGACTTGACTATGTAGGATTGTCCTAATGCATGGGGCTTTTGTTTAATTTTTTGGTACCAGGGATTGACCCAGAGGTATTTTACCACTTAGCCATATCCCCATCCCCCCTTTTATTTTAATTTTGAGATAGGGCCTAGCTAAGTTGCGGAGGCTGGCTTTGAACTGGCAATCCTCCTGCCTTGGCCTGCCAAACTACTGGGATTACAGGTGTATGCCACCATGCCCAGCTAGCATGGGCCTTTTTGTACTTAAGATATTTTTATCTAAATATGGCAAGGACTTAATAAATGGATGGTGTGAGTAAAATGCTGGGCTATCAACCTGTATGCCAGACCCAACAGCTGACATATCAGGACAAGCAGAATCAAGGTGTTCTTACGAGACTGCATGCTTAAATGCATCATAGGCACCATAACCAGGTCTCTTGTATTTGTCATCAAAGACCCAGGCAGTCCTCTGGAACAGGCTTTCCAGTTGCTCATCCTTGGTATATTCTAATACCTCAGCAACATGACGAAGAATGCTATAAACCTAGAAACAGAATTAAAAGCTCAATAATTTCAAGAAATCTATAAAAACGTTATTGCTACATTTCAGTAGATAGCATAATTTGACAGTAATTCTTTAACAACAAAAGTTCTCCATACTAGCTTTTTTGAGCTAAAAAGAAATATTCACTTTCTCATAATAATGTATTCAAGTGAGTATAACACATAAAGGAAGTACACAATTTAGGATCCTAAGACTGGGAATAAGCTTTGACAATGGGACCAATTAACATCTCTGAATTTGTTTCATTTGGGAAAGGGAGCTACTGCAAAGAGCTCTTACATGTATCAGATATATACAAACACATACTCTAAATAGAAAATTGGTGTATAAACATAAGTTCTTATTACTCCACATGAAAACATAGAACCAATTGAAACTTTAAGATTTCTTTTTCTCTGCTATCATGTAACAATTATCCTTCAGCATCACTCACTTGCAAAACTACTTTTCTAAGCTCCCAAAAATAACACAGGATTTAAGAAAAGAAAAAGTATTTGTTTTTCACATATACTTTTTAGTTGTAGATGGACACAATACCTTCATTTAATTTACTTATTTTTATGTGGTGCTAAGGATCAAACCCAGTGCCTCACACACGTGCTAGGCAAGCACCCTACCACTGAGCCACAACCCTAGCCCTGAGGAAAAGTACTAATATTGGCTGTTTCATTTTATCACCTTATCATTCTGGTAACTTTTTTTTTTTTTTTTGAGACAGATGAAGTCTTGTTGCATTGCTCAGGCTGGTCTTAAACTTGTAGGTCCAAACAATTCTCCTGTCTTGGCCTCTTGAGTAACTGGGACTATAGGTACATGCAATCGTGCTGGGCAAGTTTAACAATATAAGGGAGACCCCCCCCCCCAAAAAAAAAAAGAGGAATGTCTTAGAACATTCCTCAAACTTGGTGGGACTTGAGATTCTGCATTGCTATTAAGTAGTGGGGTAATGCCAATGGCCCATGTTGCTGCTCCAAAGACATTATGAATGTTAAGGTCCTATTAAAAAGAGATTATACTGATAGTATTTTCAAAGATATAAACCATAATATATTTTACTGATGTGGGAATGCATTAGTAAAACAGAGACAAAGAGAGACCCAGATAATAGTCTGATGGGCATTAGACTTTTTTTCTCTTTTATTGAAATTTAAAAAATTGGAACATTACTTCCTTGGTATTTTATCTAGAGGACAGGACCGCACATGACAGAAAGGAACAAAAGATACCAGTGGAAAACACAGAAACCATACACAATGGTATTAAGAAAGGAGGGTCCTGGGGCTGGGGTTGTGGCTCAGCGGCAGAGAGCTCGTTAGCATTTGTGAGGCCCTGGGTTTGATCCTCAGCACCACATAAAAATAAATAAATAAAATAAAGGCACTGTCCCCAACTACAACTAAAAAAATAAATATTAAAAAAAAAATAGAAAGGAGAATCTGAACTGAGGGTATAGCTCAGTGGTAGAGTGTGTGCTTAGAATGAACCAGCCTTGCAGTCCACCACCAGTATCACAAAAGGAAAGAGAGAGAGAGAATGATCAACCGCCTTATTAATAACAGGTTCCTGTTTTGATATTTTAACATTTGTCTCTGCTACCTTTACCTGAGAACAGTGTTGAAAGATAAGAACTACATTTTACACATCCCAGTCAGAAATAAGCTAAGCTGGTGGAATGTGATGATCATTATTATCCAAAGTACTTCATCCAAAGTATGAAGACAGGAATTGGTGTGAATATACTTTGTATACAACCAGAGATATGAAAAATTGTGCTCTATATGTGTAATAAGAATTGTAATGCATTCCACTGTCATATATAAATAAAAGATAAAAAATTAAAATTAAAATAAAAAAAAAAAAAGAAAAGAAATAAGCTAAGCTACCACATGTGGTGGCATATGACTGCAATCCTTGTTACTTGAGAATCTAAGGCAGGAATATCACTTTTTCCCCCTCTTTTTGGTGTTGGGGGATTGAACGTAGGGCCTCACACATGCCAGGAAAGTACTCTACCACTAGGTCATATCCCCAACCCTAGGAAAGCCTACTGAGTTCAAGAGTAGCCTGGGCAACATAGCAAGACCCTATCTCATAAAAATAAAATGGGAGTTGGGGTTGTAGCTCAGTGGAAAAGTATTTGCCTAGCATTTGTGAGGCACTGGGTTCGATCCACATTAAACAACAACAACAACAACAACAACAACAACAAATAAAGGCATTCTGTTTACCACTACCAGAGTTAACTTAATCTATAATGGCCTCAAAACACTAACTTCTAGTACTGACTTGAGAACATTAGATCACTAGAAATGCTTTCTGGTAGTGGCTTGATGAGATAAATAACATTGTAATTGTACTTTTCTGGAATTAAGTCTTCAAATTAGATTTCCATGTAACACATAATTGAAAATAGAGTAACAAAAAAATGAAAGTTTTTGTTTTTCATTTTTCTGCCAGGAAAGGCATATGCTGATATTTATTAAATACAGTGCACAAATTTGACTCAAAAATGAACTTACGGTTTTAGATTTTGTGAATTTGTCTTCACATTTGATTGCTTCCTCTGGAGAAACTCTTCTTTTTGACAAATCGATATATCCTATGAGAAAATTTTGGAAAAAATCATCAAGTGCCAGCATACCATTCTGACCAATTCTTACAACCAAGTTGATTACTATAATCTTACAATTATTCCTCACTAAAATCTTATCAACAAAAACTGTGTAAGAAAGATGAGAGATTCTGATCTGTTTTCAGAAATGTCTTTTAAAACAGTCTCTATTACTTTGGTGGAGGAAATTAGCTAGTCAAATGACTCTCTTTCCTCTACTTTCTTCCCTGAGCTTTTACAGAGTAGAAAGTCACTCTGATTTGGTTTGGTTTAAGAGGTTAACCTCAACAGAGGTCACATACAGACATCAAAGGAACATATTAAAATTGTCATCTAGCAAGTGACTACCATATCCAAGTGACAATGATAGACGCTTTACTTAAGCACCTCATTAAACTCTTACAACAATTCTGCATAGTAGATCTTTCTTCTAGGTTAACTTGTCAAGGTGCATCTGTAATCCCAGTGGCTCAGGAAGCTGAGGCAGGAGAATCACATGTTCAAAACCAGCCTTAGCAATTTAGCAAGGCCCTGTCTCAAAATAAAAAAGGGCTGGGGATGCAATGGTTAAGCACCCCCAGGTTCAATCCGTGGTACAAAAAAGAAAAATAAGTTCTAGTGTGGCAAAAACCCGCAAACTTGTTCCTTGTTAGGATTTCCAGTGCAATGCTAAATAACAGTGATGAGAGTGAACATTCTTGCCTTGTTCTCTATCCTAGAAGAAAGTCTATCTGTAGTTTTTTTCCTAGACACCCTTTATTAGATTAACAAAATTCCCTTCTATTTCTAGCTTGCTAACTTTTTATTAATGAATGAGTATTGAGTTTTGTCAAATGCTTTTTTACATTTATTAAAATGAATGACTGGAATTCCTTTGACATTGTTAATGTACCTGGACTGTTTCAGATTCTGAGCATTTCTTTCCTCAAAAAAAACCCATGATTTATACATAGTAAACTTCACCACTTTAGTGTACAATTCTGAGTTTTGTTAAAAAATACAGTCATGTAACCACTACAATCAAGAACCACTAACCCTTAAATCACTGTAAAAAAACCGAACAGGTTTTGTTGTGAATATACATTTTAATTTCACACGGATAAATACCAAGAAATTGGTATTGTTGGGTTGCATAGTACATGTACTTAATAACTGCCAAATTGTTTTCTAAAGTGCATGTACCATTTTTGCATTTCCATAAGCAGTTCGTATCTATCAGTTTTTTTTTTTTAAAAATATTTTTTAGTTGTAGGTGGACATAATACTTTTATTTTATGTATGTATATGTGGTGCTGAGGATCAAACCCAGGGCCTCACATGTGTTAGGTGAGCATTCTACCACTGAGCCACAACCCCAGCCCCCCAGCCCACACTTTTTTTTTGAGAATAGTCTCACTTGTTGCCCAGGCTGGACCCCAAACTTCTACACTCAAGCAATACTACTACCTAGACTCTCAAGTAGCAGGGACTATAGATGTATACCATTGCATGCCCCAACATCATTTTGTTTTGTGGTGCTGGGTATCAAACCCAGTGTTATTAATGTGTATTTCCTAATGACTAATCTTGTTCAACATCTTTTCATGTGCATATTTGCTATTCATTTTCTTCTTTGGTGAACTATATATTCAAATCTTTCTCTCATTTTTTAAATGAGTAGTTTAGGAAAATATTTTAGGTGGTTAAAATAATCTGGTTTGTTTTTATCCCATCCAGTTGTCCTACCACCATCATTTAAGGGAGTTACTTCTACTCAGTTACTTCTGCACTTCTGTTGATCAATTATATTAATAAGAGTATAATCAAGTTTTTTCTCCCTTTTTCCTCTTTCCAGTACTGAGAATTGAACCCAGGGATGCTCTAACACCAAGCTATGTTTCCATCCCTTTCCATTTTTTATTTTGAGACAGGGTTTAAGTTGCTGAGGCTGTTGTGATTCTCCTCCTGAGCCTCTAATGTAGACTGGATTACAGATGTGTGCCACCATGCCCTGCTACATAAAGTTTTGAGTGTTAAACCAACTGCATTGCATTCCATATACTCTACTTGGTCATGCTTTACTATCCTTTTTATACATTGCTGGATTTGCCTTTTTAAAAAAATTTTCTTTATATTGCTAGGGGTCAAACCCAGAAACAGAGTGCCTGCCCTGCATGTTGGGCAAGCCCTTTTTTACCTCCTCCTCCTCCTCCTTTTAATATTTTACTTGTGGGTAGACACAATACCTTTGTTTATTTATTTTTATGTGGTGCTGAGAATCGAACCCAGTGCCTCACATATGCTATGCAGATGCTCTACCACTGAGCTACAACCCCAGTCCCTCCCCTTTCTACCTTCTTAAAGTCAAAACCTAGATAACTGTTTGCAGATTTTTAATGTTTTATAACACAAGCAATTAAAATTATAAACTTCTCAAGCCTTCTTTAATATATGGATTATTTAGATGAGCTTTTTTTTTTTTTTTTGTGGTGTTAGGGAACGAACCCAGGGCCTTGTACATGTGAGTCAAGCACTCTACCAACTAAGCTATATCCCCAGCCCATTAATTGTGCAAATACTTATTTTTTCCACTCAAGATATAATGATATTGATTTTAAACCAAGTTCTGGTGTGATCCAAGAACATACTTTGTAGCTAGGCGTGGTGAAACATGCCTATAATCCCAGTGACTGAGGAGGCTGAGAAAGGAGGATCATAAGTTTGAGGCCAGTCTCAGCAATTTAGTGAGACCCTGCCTCAAATTAAAAAATTTAAAAAAAGGGATAAAATACAGTTGTAAAGCACCCTGGGTTCAACGCTCAGCACTCAAACCAAAAACATACTTTATATGTACTATTTCAATACTTCCAACGTTGAAATCATTGCTCAAATTATCCTCTATCTTGGTGAATATGGCATGCACACGTGATAAAATGCATATTCGTTTTCTGGAAGTAATGTTCTCTCTATGTAACAGTCAGGTAAAGGTCTTTATTGGTTTTCTTTTTTTAGTGTAGTTGTTCTATCAGCTGTTCAGAGTTTCAGCAAGATCCTGTCTCAAAAAAGGGATTGGGGATGTGGCTTAGTAGTTGAGTGCCCACCTCTGGCTTCAATCTCTGGTGCATTTACACAAATCTAGATGGCCTCACTATATTGCTGAGGCTGGCTTTAACTTGGAATCCTCCTGCCTCAGCCTCTTGAGCTGATTACAAGCATGTATCATTGTGCCTGGCTAAACTCATCACTATCTTAAGTGATAAATAAATATGTTTTTTCTTTAATATAGATCCCTATGATAAAGTTAATAACTTAAACACAGTAAGAGATTAATAATAATAAAACAGAATAATTAGAACACCATTGTATAGTAAAAGTTATGTGAACATAGTCTCTCTTGAAAGAGTTAAGACAAATAACATTTATGGAATGTGAATGGTTAGGAAACCATGGAAAGTGAAACCAAGGAAAAGGGTGGATTACTGTATTAACTATATTTTCTGTATTCTTTTTTATTTATGTTTATTTCTATTACACACATTAGCAAATGCTTTACCATTAAACTATACTTGCAGCCCATGAATTCCTGTTTTTTTTTTTTTTTTTGAGATGGGGTCTTGCTATGTTTCCCAGGCTGGCTCCAAAGTGAACCTCATTCCTCAAGTAGCTGACTATAGGCATGAGCCATCACACCTGGCTTCTAGTTTATATATTCTGACATTTGTGGCTTCAATGACTAGAATAAGAATGTCCCTTAAGACTAGCCCCAAATCAACCCAGGAAATACCAGACAATAGGCAGAAGCCTACAACTTAGCCAATTCTAAATTGTTTATCCTGCCCTGGCCTAGGATTTCCCGCAATTCCTTCTGCTTTCTGACTAAAACTTCAAGGTATGGCATGGCATGGGAATACCCCTTCTCTCAAGAAATATAATAAAAATCTTCCTTTGATGGCATTGACCTCTCTGTGCCATCAGTCATCTTCAACAAATTAAAATCTTAAGTGTACAAAAAAGACAAACAGTTTAATGCATTAAAATTTTTTTTTTTAGCTGTAGACAGACACAATACTTCCTCACAAATGCTAGGCAAGTGCTCTACCACTGAGCTACAACCACAGCCTGATAAATGAATTTTAAAAAAATTAATAAGAGGGGTAAAATAGTATTTTACAATTACTCACATATTTCTCATATTTTTTTTACCGTGAAGAATTTCCTTTATCATTTCTTTATTTATGCACGTGTGTGTGTGTGTATATATATATATATTTAGTTGTAGGTGGACAGAATATCTTTACTTATTTGTTTTTAAGTGGTGCCAAGGACCAAACCCAGTGCCTCACACATGCTAGGTAAGTATTCCACCACTGAGTCACAATCCCAGCCCCCGCTTACTATTTCTTATAATGCAGCTCAATTCAGCAATTGATTCTCTTAGTTTCTATTTACCTGAAAATGTCTTTGTTTTGACTTTCATTAATCAATATTATCTTAGGATACACAATTCTCATGTGACAAATTTTTTTCCTTTCATTGGCTTAAAAATATTAGGCCTCTATTATTTCCAATAAGAACACCATAGTAATTTGTATCAGCATTCTTATGTATGTAACATGTTATTTTCTTCTAGTTATTTTCAAGATTTTCTTTCCTAGTAAATTTGGTGTGCATAGACATAGTTTCATTAGCATTTACCCTGTGTGAAGGCTATACTTTGCAAAATTTACTTTTCTAAACAGATATAGAAAACTTTTGGCTGTTACTTTTTCAAACATACTTTCTGCCCCCTTTCTCTTGTCTCTTCTATTATAATAGAGCTTTTGATATTGGGTAGATGATTGAGGCTCTCTACATATTTTTGTACCCCTATCTTTTCTGATTTGTTTATTTTCAATGAACCATCTTCAAGTTTCACTGAGCCTTCTGTTTTCTTCAATCTATTGTTAGCCCATACAGTGAATTTTTCAGATATAATTTTCAGTTATGATTTATATTTATTTCTTCTTTAAAAAGTTTTAAACTTCTCTAAGATCTCATTTTGTTCATTCCTTACAAGTATATTTTCCTAATATCTTTAAGCAGTTATAACATCTGATTTTAAATCTTATCTCCTAATTCCATCATTTGGATCACTTCTGAGCCAGTCTTCAGTGACTGCCTTCTCTTTCTAGAGGTTATATTTTCCTATTTCTTTGTATGTATATTAAGTCAACTTTACACTGCTGTGACCAAAAATATCTGACAAAACAACTTAAAGGAGGAGAAGTTTATTTGGGACTATTTGAGAGGTTCAGTCCATGGTTGCCTGATTCCACTGCTCTGGACCTAAGATCAGGTAGAATTATCATGGCAGAAGGGCCATAATAGTTACTATCCAGCACAATAGTTCAAATTATTAATTCTTCAAATGGATCAATTCACCAATTAACTCACAGTCCTTATAAACTAATCACTTCACCTTTTTAACATTCCTGGCACTGTCACATAGGCTTTTGGGAAATACTTCATACCCAAACCATTTAACAGAATGTTTAGCAATTCTGAATGCATCCTGGACATTGTTGAGTATTTGGCAGAGACTCTGGATTCCTGTGAGCTACTCTCTTTTTTTTTTTTAAAAGAGAATTTTAACATTTATTTTTCAGTTTTCAGCAGACACAACATCTTTGTTTGTATGTGGTGCTGAGGATCGAACCTGGACCGCACGCATGCCAGGTGAGCGCGCTACTGCTTGAGCCACATCCCCAGCCCCCTGTGAGCTACTCTTAAGAATAGGATCCCAAGTTCAAAGCCAGCCTCAGCAACTTAGCAAGACCCTATTTCTAAATAAAAAATAAAAATGGCTGGGGATGTGGCTCAGTATTTAAGTACTCCTGGGTTCAATCGCTGGTAACGGTACCCCTGCCCCCATAAAAAAAAATGATTTTTAAATTCCACAACTCAGGAAGCTGAGGCAGGAGGATTGTAACTTTGAGGCCAGCCTTGGCAACTTAGCAAGACCTTGTTTTAAAACAAAATACAATAAAAATGGTTAGGGAGTAGCTCAGTAGTAGGGTACCCCTGGGCACAATCCCCAGTATCCCAATTAAAAAAATATATATTTTAATAGGCAATTTACTGTCTGTGGGAAGTAACTGAAATCTTCAGATTTTAATCCTGTTAGGCTGCTTGCTTAGACACTACTCTCATATGTTAGTAGTTCATGGGTCAGCCAGAGATTTGGGCAGAATTTACATACAGACTTAAGGGGTCTTCCTTTGTGGATTTCTCCTTTAATGCTATCATTACTACCATTTTCCACCTGCTATGATTGTCTAAAATACAAAACTGCAAAATATAAAACATCCAGTGTAGTTCCTTTTTTCAAAGTATTGACTTGCCTTCAGTTTTGGCCTGCTTTTGCTTTTTTCTCATTGTCTTTTGGTAGCTGTATTTTTATGTGTCCAGGGTTTATATATGTACATAGTCCTGATAAATAGCTCTTATGTTAAAAGTTTCATCTAATAGGACCCTAACCCTTTTGTATGGGCTCTTCTGCACTGATTTTTTCTTTAATCCTACCCTCTAGGATCTAGATCTAGATCTTCCCCTATCAGAATATTCAAAATCTCATTTTGAATAAAAACACACTGATTTATTTAACAAGTCTCCATTTTGATTGTTTCTTTTTAATTAATACTGTACAAATGCTGCTTAGAAATAGTTATATGTATTTAGCCAGGCACAGTGGCACAGCCTGTAATTAAATAAACAAATACTAACCCAAGTGGTCTTGCTTAGATGGCTAACTGACATACTTCTCCAGCAACTTTGGTTTATAAAAAAGAAAGAAAGGAATTTTTAAACAGTAGTACACAAATTAAAAATACATATATTTAAAAATAAATTGATTTAAATTCTTATAATTATTTTATTAATTTTTCTCTCCCACTCCTTTTGGGTAGTATTGGGGATAGAACCCAGGGCCTTGGCACATGTTCTTGAGCTGAATTACACCTCCAGACTATAATTTTAAAAGTTTTAAGATATTTTTCTCTTACCTTTTTCTTTGTCCACTCTAATAACAACCACACATTCATTCCTGCCAATTCGGATGAGTTTGTTTATAGAACGGATACGCCGTCTGGATAATTCACTGAGAAGAATCATGCCTTCAATGTTGTTGTATTCTAGCAAGCTGACATAAGCTCCCATTTCAGCAATGGACCTTACATTCACCATCACTACATCTTCCACCTCAGGAAATTTGTGTTGGTAAAATCTACAACTTAGACCCGGCATTCTGCAATTTAAGCAAGAGAATCAAATTAAGTGTTCAGTTAAGGTCAAAATAAATGTCAATTTTCTACATTTTGCCAGTGAAAGTAAATAAAAGATAAATATAGTTATTTGTTTTCTCATCTCTTTGAACTTCTTAAATAGTATCAGAAAACAGATGGGTATCCAGGAACCAAGCTTTAATTTTTATTTTGCTCTACCTTTTGTAAGCTTGGGTGATCCTTTGCCATGAGTTTTAGCGAAATCATAAAAAATAATGACCATCTATAAAGTACTCTGAGACTTAAGGATTAAAGGAATATTCAAGAATAAAATACTATTTTATTACTACCACTTTAAAGAATATGAAATGATGGGAAGCATCACCACTGTTATAAACTTGTCAGCAAAATCCAAGCTACTCTTTCTCCGAGTCAGTTAAGATTGCATGTTACCACCCAATAAGTAAAGGGAAGAATTTTCTGACAACTTAACCCTTAGCCAATATACCAATGATATATACAATCTTTTTTATTTTGTAGTGCTGGGAAATGAATACAGGGTCTCAAGCACACCAGACAAATGCTCCAACCCTGAGTTACATCTCCAGCCCATTATCACTTATTATAGCCAAAATTAAAGTATCAGATATCAAGGAAACCAAAACCTAAAAATTTATTAATAACAAAATGTTTAACAATTTTTTTTCCTTTTAAAACACACTTTCCCCTCTAATTTTTATTTTGTTGAGTACCCAATTTTGAGAACAGCTTTATAAATCTTCGTTTACTACAAAGTTCAAGTTTCTCTCAACCTCTAGGCTACTTTCAGTACCACCTTTCTTATGATCCATAAGCTGGCATTATGTCATGGGTAGAAGTATATTTGAACAAAGAGGCTCTCAAATTAATAGTGGCTGATGATTTTCATGTTTTTCTATTAACCTTAACCCATTTACTGTTGGCAGAGTTCAGAAGACAGGGAGTAATAGGACCTAAAAGCCTAAGAAAAATCTGTGAAAACTTATTTAATAATATTTTTGTTAACAGGGAAATATGGCTGCCAATAACTGACTTTAGGCAGACCACCTACATTCAGCATATGGAACACCAGAGTTATGCTGCAGTGCAGTAATAGAGCTGCCACCTGTCACCCATGTACACCTTACCACTGGGAAGATATCCATGGGACTTATATATCCTTCCATTAACTACCAGGTCTTATATGATCTGGCCACCGCCTATCTCCTTGAGGTACCACTTTCTCACTTATTTCCACCATTTTACAGATAAAGAAGTTGAGGCACAAAAACAACTTGCTCTTTCATATACTGATACCTATGAAGTTTGGATCCAAAGTCTTTGTTCTTATAAATCAGTATATATTTTCTCTCAGTATTACTGGAAAATGTGTTGCAGTAAAAAAAATCTTAAACAAAAAGCAACTTCAATATAGATATTCAGTGTTGGTAGCATATACTACAAATTCAGGCAAACTATTAGCATCAATCTATCTTGTTTAACAAAAAACAACATATGTGGCAGTGAAGTATTTTTCTTGTAGCTTGACAACATAAGGATTTAGCAAACAAAGGAAGCAGACACTCAATGGCCAGAATTATCCACTAAGAAACAGCTGAAATGGTTGTTTTATTTTAAAACAGGGCTCTTTCAGGGGTGGGGGAGCAGCTGTTGTCAAATATCTGTACATAATTATATTTGAAAGTTTAAAGAGTCTCAAATAGATACCAAATTAATGATATGGAGCAATTTTTAGAGATTTAACAGATATCAACTACATTTTCTTTTTTTTTTTTTCACCAAGTTTCTCCAAAAAGTAAAAGTGATGCTTTCAGGGAAACAAGGTTTAATTTAATGGTTAACAAACATAGGAAGTTAGAAAATAGGGTAAGAGAATCCTGAAAAGAGACATAAAAACTACTTCTTTAGGAGGCAAAAAAATCTCTTCGTAAGGTACAGAATAATGTAATGCTGCCAATGATGTTATTCACAGCAATGAAGGAAAGTAGCTAGTCACTACAACCATCTGCATATTGTTTAATAGATTTGAACATGTCATCTTATGAAATGCTAGTAACATTTTTTAAAGTGAGTTTAAAAAAAAAAAAAAAAAAAAAACTAGCTTCCCCCCGCCCCCTCAGGAAAACAGAAACCACACTAGATATTTACTTGGCCTTTCCTATCATTTTCAAAACATTCAGATTTTTTAAATTTGGACTTCAACAAGTGTCAAGTCAGGCCAGTAGCCACTTGTTCTGCCCTACTTACTATCTATAGTTGCTAGGGAAAGGTTCCCTTTGAACTGTTTTTCTCATCAATACTTCACAGGTTTGTGAAGGTGTCAATTGAAAATATATGTAAAAATATTTTAAAAGTGTATCATACTACCCTAAAATTCAAAAAGGCAAACGAAGTATCATTTCCATTTTATAACTTAATTTGTTAATCTACTAGGTACTATACATTACTGATATAAGATTCTTACCTAAGGAATTAAATATAAAGTTGGAAACAATCTAGTATGCAAACAATTACAATATAAAGTACTACAAAAGACATAGTGAAACAATCAGTTAACAGGGAGCCAAGAAATAGAAATATTAAATGACTTCCTCAATGATAAATGCATACCAATTACTAAAGCAAAAGCTAAACTCAAGTCTTCTGACATTAAATCTGGAGTGTCTAACTAGAGAGCTTCAATAGGCCAAAGCACTACACAGCTATGTGTTCTGATATAAAAGAAACCAATTACCTTTTGAAAGATAATAACCAAACTTCACACTAATTTCAAATACTCTGCATTGTCAGTAATGTTGCCAGTGGTCGGTAGGACTTATCCCTTAAACCAGGGCATGGTTAAGTCACCATAATGGATACAGAAGTCTACATTCCTTTCCAGTGTATTGTGTTGGGAAAACTCATGCGCCTCTAAAATAATTCTTGGTTTGTAAGTGCTATACAAACAAAACTTTCAAACTGTCTCAATCGGGAGAAGAAAGTTAGGACTTCTTTGTCCTTTCTCAAAAAAAAAAAAGTGCTTCTTGCTTAACAAAAATTAAAGCAGCCTAAGTTTGGCGGATAACTAAAGGGACCGTACGATGTATAGGCATTTAACTCTAAAATTTTGGCTTTTAGTTATGCAAAATTCTAACGTCTTAGAATTTTGCATTCTCACAGTTTCCAAAATGAGACGAACAGATACTAACAATATTCAAGGGATGATTCATTCTACAGAAACGCACAACTCGAGGGATAAGATATCTTAAACTTCAGTTTTAATTATCAGATTAATAAACTATTCTACGACCCAGCTCTTTTCCGCATGGGAGCCCATTCTACTGGTTGTCTGAGAGAGTCAGGTATGAATTCCAGAGAATTGGGAAATTTCTGGCAATATCGCTGGGCGGGAGAAGTGGGGACATACAGATTTAAAATAATTCTTAGACTAGGAAAAAGGCCAAGCGCTCAGCGCCCCGGAGCAGGGATGGGGTGTCAGGGCGTTTTCCCGAGGTCGCCCCACCTCGGGGCATGCTCTCTTTAAACATACTGAAGAGGGAGTAAAATCCACTTGGCCCACTTTCCTTCCCGAGATTTCTCCGCTGATACAACGCTGGCTCTGGCACACAGGAAGACCGACACAGAGCCGGAGAGGAGGCCCTGACTGAATCAGCGGGCGGTGGCGATGGTGTCCAGACACTTCCCGCGCCGGGTCGGGAAAAGGAGGGGGAGTTAGTTCCGGGCCTACCCTGTCGACCACTCCTGTCAGTAGACAAACTAACGTTGAGTTCTCGGGTAAACCGAACTGCGGGATTAGTCACCTGAGGTATGTGTGTGAATCCCGCACTAAAGTCCCGCGTGGAGCTCTTTAGTCCGAACGATCAGACTTGGTAGATCCGTACCAGCCGCCCAGCCGCCGCAGCGTGCGCCTCGCACAACCCCAGCGCGCATGCGGAACCACCTCGCACCACGCAAGCGCCGAAGTAAAAGGCCCCTCCTCTCCATCGATCATAGAGTGTGGGTCCTCCGAGGACCAGGGATGTGGACCACAGAAGGATCTAAAAATTACGTTTTCTAGCTATCTTTAGATTTTTACAAGTAACCTCCGAGGCGTGGCAAGCAGGCAAGATTCTGATTCGTTATCCTCTAAGAATAAGTCCCCTCAAAGTTTTAATTAACCATGAGATGGCGCTGTGACTAGAGACGAAAGATGGAGGAAGAGAAGAGGTGTTCTCTTTTTTCGCTCAGCACGTGCAGCGATTTGCTCAGCAGCCAGGGAGCTGGAAGGGGAGGGGCTGGGAGTCGAACCGGAATTCCGCGGTGCGCGCGCCTTCACGTACGGGCATCGTCTGTGTCCAGCCCACTGCCTGACGTCTCTGACAACTGGAAGCGGAAGTGAAAAATGGGTATCCCTGCTACCTCTTAGCAACGCGAGGGGTCATGTGACACAAACGTTGACTCCAGTAGAGGAAGAGACGGTGGCGGCCAGTACTGGAGCTCTTGCACCCTCGTTTGCCCGGCCGGGGATCCGAGCCGAACAGTCATCGTCAGAATGTCGGGCAAAGACCGGATCGAAATCTTTCCCTCGCGAATGTAAGTAAAAGAACGAGAGGAGTGGCGCTCTCAGGTTCAGGAACGCCTGCCTGGAGCGTGATCCCTCCGTACCCTGGACCACCAGTGAGGTTCCTAGTTTCCCGGCCTATCCTGAGCTCTCTTCCAGGGTCTTGTCTTGAACCCAGGATTCTCCTGGGTGAACCAGACAGGACAGGGAGATAGGAAAAAGCGCCAGACCTGCTGGCTTCTGTGGAGGTCCGCAGTCTTTATTCGTTAGTCGAGTCGTTTATTTCCCTTACGGTTGTTGAGCCACGCACTGGATTTATATAAGTCAAATGTCGCCATCTCTGCCTTCACAGAGATCACCGTTTAGCGGCGCGACGGAAAAGTCGAGGGGGTTTGTTAATGAGAAGGGACGTTTACCGCCACGGGAAGCATATAGAAGGTCCCTTAGTCAAAGTGGGGATTGATTCGAGTCGCCCTAGCTTGGACGTCAGATTCAATCTTGGATTCCCTTACTCATTTTCCAAGATCCTGAAGTGTCAGCGGCGGTGGGACGGTATCTCTGCATTTCTGAGGCAGTCCTCTTGCTATCACCACTGCACCCTTTTAGACCTCTGTTAAGACTGCTCATCACATTGTTAAGAGGATATTTGTTTACTACATATCGTTCTTTCCCATCAGCCTGGGGGCTTTATCTAGGATGAGAGAGCATCTTGATTAAATCGTCCATAAAGAATCTACAGAGAACCAACCCATGCTTTGAAATCTGTTCAGTCCTGTACTGCCTTTTCTATTGCCCTGAAATCCTTGTCACATCGTTGGCCAGTTGTAATGAAAGTTTTAAAGTTTTCACAAATGTGCTTAACAACTTGTGAGAATAAATATTGTTCTTGTTTGTGCTCTCTTCTTTCTTTTTTGTCATCGAGGAAGCAGAAAATAAGTTTTGATTCTGATACTTAGATCTCTGCATTATCCTGTCCTATGGGGTGTTTTTCCTCATCTTGTAATTTTTCTTACAGTATATGAGGACTCTTAAACAGTTATTTTCAGACTCTAAACTTCTGTCTCTGCCAGTGTCACTATAGCTCTTAATGAAATGAAAGAGTTGTAAATTTGCTCTTTACTTTCACTCAACTGACTTCCTAATGGTTGATTGTACTAGGCAGGAAAAGAGCTAGTTGTGGAGAAAAGCCTATCCTGTGAAACAGATAAGGATAGTACTCCCTTGGGGTAACTCCGCAACTCCATCCAAATCTCTGCACTGAGAAACAACAGTGGCTTGGAGCAGCATAAGGCCATGTCCTAGGATGACCTCAGATTCCCATTAAAATATGGTCATGGGGTATAGCTCAGTGGCAGAGCACTTGGCTAGCATGCATGAAGCTCTGGGTTCCATCTCCAGCACTACAAAAATTACAAAATAAAATGCTTGCCTGAAAAAGCTGAAAGCTGCTAGGAGAATTAAATATTTGTTCTATCCAACTCCTGATCAATACAGCCATGACTTCCCTTTCTTAGAGCATTTACTGAAAAGAGTTTTTCTGTAAACCTTTAAGAAGTGTCCCTCTGAAGGATCTGAGAGTACTTTTGAAATTTAATCATTGGGAAGGATAAGGTCTCTGTCTCCCAGTCTCTGTGGCAGGATAGAACCCTAACTTCCATAATTGTCAGCTAACAGACACACCAGGCCTAATTGCATTTACACTGACCAAAGCTTTGTTATTTTTCACTTCTCTCATTCAAGGCCCACTCCCTCATTTTCTTTTTTAACAAGCCCAGTTACTTCTACACAAATCAAAATGTAGCCCAGTGCTTTCCCTTATGTGACACAGTGGTTCCTGAATAAAATCTTTCCCCATTGTTTTAGCTAATGTCTTTTCTTTTCAGTAGTCAGAATGATAACATGTTTTTGTTTTTACTTTTGAATTTTTTTGAGTCTAGAGAAGCACAAATGGACTTTGGGCTTAGACAAGAAAAATGATAGGTTTGTGAAGGTGGAAACTGCTATTTGGGAGCACTCAACTTGTGAGTTGAGAGGAAAATCAGTTGCAGGAAGTAAATATTTTCCCCAAGGCTTGACAGCAGTTCTTTGTCATGTAGTCAGATGTCTTTGATTCAGCTGAAAACAAAGTCATTGTCCTAGCTGAAGGTCATTTTTTTTTTTTTTTGGTAGGCCTGAGCAGTTCTGAAATATGTAAAAGAACAGGTTTTAAAAGTCCTAGGCTAGGGCTGGGGTTGTGGCTCAGTGGTAGAGTGCTTGCCTAGCACGTGTGAGGCACTGGATTTGATTCTCAGCACCACATATAAATAAAAAATAAATAAATAAAGGTTCATTGACAACTAAAAAATATTAAAAAAAAAGTCCTCGGCTAGAAAATGCACTGGCGACTTCTGTTTCATCAACAGTCCACTCATGATATATCCTCTGAAATGTTGCTTTTACTCACTTATGCACCGAAGAAAACAAAAGTTTAGAGTGGAAGCAAAAGAGACATGAAAGATTTGGAGTCAACAGAAGTCAGGCAAATCCAGGTTCTTTTGCATATTAGCTCTAAGTGCTTGGGTGGGTCATTCATAGAGTCTTCTGAAATTAAAATTTGCCCCTTTCATTGAGATGCCATCATCTAGCAGGATACTAAAAATAATAATAAATTAGCAGAATATTAAATTATTATTAAAATTGTAGGCAGACACTGTGGTGTACATCTGTAATCCCAGCAGTTTGGACACTGAGATAGGAGGATTATAAGTTCAAATTGCCAGCCTCAGCAATTTACTGATGCCCTAAGCAACTTGGTGAGACCCTGTCTCAAAAAATGAAAAGGGCTGAGGATATATAGTCTGTCCCTGGGTCAAATTCCCAATTAACACCCCCCCCACCACCACCAAAAAAAAATTATCAACCAGTTTACCTGTACACTCTAAACTTATTGGAATCTTCAGTACTAGGATTTTACCAAAATTTGATCCAAGTCCTTTCAGCCCCAATTCTGGTATGTAGTGTAAACAATACTGTATATTAAATGCACACATTAGTGTGGATAGCTCCTGTTCAGGCTGGAAACTGAACCAGCTTCACTTGATTAGACCTCTTGAGGCCAATCAGGGCAAAGTCAGCCACTGCTAACTGCTTTGCAAGGCAAGAACTGTTATTTGCTGCTACTAGACATCTTTAATGTGGGGCAGAACTGAGAGAGTGCAGCTTAGTGGTAGAGCACCTTCCTAGCATGTGCGAGACCCTAGTTCAATCCCTAGTACCATGAAGGGGTGTGGGGGTGTGGGATGGGGGGGTTGAGGGGTGAGGAGGTTGAGAGAGTATTAAGATGAGGCAGTGTGGCAGTGGTTGGGGTACAGTGTCCTAGGTTGAGCCTTTTTAAAAAATGGTACTGGGGATTGAACCCAAGGATGTTCTACCACTGAACTATATACTCCCAATTCCTTTTTTTTAGTTTTTATTTTGAGATAGGTCTCCTTAAGCTGTTTAGACTGGCCTTGAACTTGTGATCCTGCTGTCTCAGCCTTCCTAGTAGCTGGGATTACAGGCATGTGACACTGCACCCTGCTTGAGCCTTAATTTTCATTCTTTCGCTATTACAAATAAGGATGGAGTACTCATCCTTAATTTTAGATGTGTTTTTGTATACATGTGGGAATAAATCTCTAGGATAAGTTCCTCGAAGTGGAATTGTTGGTCTTGAGGTTAATTGCATTGCAAATTTTTCTTTGGGGTGCTGGGGGTTGAACCCAGGGCCACATACATGCTTGGCAAGTGCTCTACTACTGAAGTAATCAGCACCCAAATTTTGATTTGTGTTAGTGAACAGAATATTTCAATCTCCATGGAAATTGAAACATTATTAAATATAACAAGTTAAGTAAGTATTTGAACTATGCTGTCATCATAAAATAAATTTCCTGATAGGGCATATTATGATTTAATAAATACTCCAGATATTGATTATAGAATTGTTTCTGTTGTAAATAAATAAACTTTTATGGAACAATAAGGGTAGAAATTTCTAGTATTGAGAAACAAGTTAAACTTCTCGGCTACAAATTTTATATTTTCTCTCATTATAGCAAAAAAATAAAGGATAATTTTAACACTATGTTACAGAGGTATTTTATGTCTTTGAAGCAAAAACAATGAATGTTTTTGTTTGTAATTTCTATAGGGCACAGACCATCATGAAGGCTCGTTTAAAAGGAGCACAAACAGGCCGAAACCTCCTGAAGAAAAAATCTGATGCCCTAACTCTTCGATTCCGACAGATCCTGAAGAAGATCATAGAGGTAGAGTGAACTTTGCTTAAGCAGTATTTATTTTATAAACATCTAAGGAAAATCTAGCATGGACCTTGGCATTTTATTATTTCTTTTTTTCTTTTTTGGAATTGGAATTTGAACCCAGGGCCTTGTGTATGCTGAGCACAACTCTACCTCTGAGATATATCCTTAGCACTTAATTTTTAGTTATTTTAATTAAATTTTTTTCCTTCAAAAGTAAAAACACCATTATGACAAGTGTAATACTAGAGAAATGCTAGCATACATACATATAGATTTTAGTTTTGGGTAGTTCACTTAATGAAATCCAAACTCCTTAATATGCCTGCAAAGCCACAAAGCCTCACTTGATCTGATCTGCCTCCTGCCTGCCTCTCTGACCTCATTTGGAGCATTCTTTCTGATGTCCTCCAGGGCCTATCAACTTTTTCTTCTCCCTAAAATGCTCTTTAGGAGTGGCTCACCTGGCCATTCCAGTCTCTTCAGAGAGGTCATTGTTGATTACACAATCTGATGTAACCACCATTTTTACTACTGTCACAATTTTGTATTTTATTTGTATTGTAATATGTACTACTACATAGCATTTTCTTCTTTGTTTTGTTCCATTAGACGATATAAGTTTCAGAGACTTTTCAGCACTGTATTTCTAATGCCTAGAATAGTGTTGGCGTATAGTAAGTTTTAATCAGTACTTTTTGGGTGAACGATAAGTGAATACAGAATTATATATTTTAAAAAGAAAAGGTTCTCTTATATCTTCCCTTTCCCCACAATAATCCTTTCTTTGTTTTCCAGAGGTAGTTTTTCTTGACACTGGTTTATGGTCTTTCATCCCTATGTCACCTATTTGGTAGCGTGTATAAAAATTACCACACATGCAGAGGTTATATACATATATAAAATCCCATAATATTTCCTGGTCTGCTCCCTTCTCTCCCCTGCCCCATGATGGCAGAACGTGGACAGCTTTCTACATCAATACATAAAAATCTGTCTCATTCTTCTTCTTCTTCTTTTTTTTAGTTGTTGACGGACCTTTATTTTATTCATTTATTTATATGTGGTGCTGAGAATTGAACCCACTGCCCCACACATGTGAAGCAAGTGTTCTACCACTGAGCTGTAACTCCAGCTCTCTCATTCTTTATAATAGCTTCATGGTGTTTCATTGCATGGATAATGGAATTTAACCTTACCTCTGTTTTTTTTTTAAGGTACAGGGGTCTGAACCCAGGGCATCCTAGGCAAGTGCTCTACCACTAAGCTACATTCCTGGCCCTTTTTAAAAAATGTTATTTTTGTGGTACAGGGGAGTAAACCCTGGTGTGCTTTACCACTGAACAATATACTCAGCCCTTTTTGCTTATTTTTTTAGGTACACATTTTATTTTGTAATCATTTTAGATTTATAGAAAAGTTTCAAGGACAGTGCAGAGAATTCCCATATATCCCTCACTCACTTTCAGTTTCCTTTAATGTCATATTTCTGGATATGTTTGTGAAATCTAGGAAACCAACATCAGTATATTACTATTAACTAGGATTTCACCAGGTTTTCTTTAATGTCCTATTTTTGACCCAGATCCAATCCAGGATGCCATGTCACATTTTCAGTTTTCTCAGTCTTGGTTTCTTTATTTTTTCCTGACCTCTTTAAATGAGGCTGTGAATCAGGCATTCACATGCTGGGTCTGAGCATTCATTTGGCCACCTACACGTCTTTCTCTGCTCAGTGGAGCTCATTATAGTGAATAGGAATATATGTGGTGAACTAAGGTTTTCAACAGCAGATCTGAGTGGTCAGAATAAAAAAAAGGCATAGTCCAAGTAGAGTGATTGATATCATCTACTGATTTCAGAGGTTTCAGTCCACTTTTGGAGCTCTGGTCCAAGAGGTGAGACAGAACATAATGGCAGAGGAATGCTGCTCAGCTTAGGACAGCCAGGAAATAAAGAACGTTTTAAAAATTTTGCAACAGGGTCTCATTAAGTGACCCAGACTAACCTCAAACTCCTGGGCTCATGTGCTTCTTCTATCTCAGCCTCTTAGGTAACTGGGACTATAGGTGTGCACCACTATGGTTGACTTATAGTTTTTTTTTTTTAAACTCTATTTCTAAAACGTCTAGATCATTTTATTTATTTATTTCTGGTTGGGGGGCAATGTAAGGGATTTATCTTTATCATTTGTAAATGGATGAACAGTTGAATGGTTGCTTCATTATACTAAATTCCCATTTATATCTAGGCATCTTTTTTTTCTTTCTTTTCCTTTTTTTCAATACTGGGGATTGAACCCAGGGGTTTTCTACCACTGAGCTACATCCCCCACCAGCCCTTTATATTTTTTTATTTTGAGATAGCATCTCACTACATTGCCATGCCTGGCCTTGAACTTTCAATCCTCCTGTCTCAGCCTCCTGTCTCTCAGATTAAAGGTGTGTTTTGCCACTCCTAGCCTGGGCTTATTTTCCTATAAAAACACTTTGTTCTACTTCTTATCTGTTCCATACTAGATTTCCTTATTGTAGCTGTAGATTTTTACTACTTGGTCAGCCAACTCCCTGCCCATCTGACCCAATTTTTCTCCTCTTTCAAAAAAATTATTGGATATATATTGCATATATATATATGCAAGCATTAAATTTTCCAGCTGTCCTTTAGAATCAGTGTGGCATTAGGATTTTTGACTCTTTTTAAATTCACTGTAGTGAATTTAAAAGATTAATGAGAGCAAATCACATGTACATGTTTAGGAGCAAGATAAGTTCTTCAGTAAATATTTACTTTTGTATTTACTAATGCATGTGTTCTAATGTTTTAATTATAAAACTCATAGTTTTGCAATGGTATTACTGATCATAACCAAAACTGTTCAAAATTGGTAATTTTTATTTGTTTTGTCATTATCAAATCAACATTTGTTACTGATATTTCATACTTAGCATCAAATAGGATAGCTATTAAAGGAACTTAACTTTAATATAATTTTTCCTTATAAAAAACTTGGTTCGATCTGCTGTGGGTTTATACTTTTCCAGACTAAAATGTTGATGGGTGAAGTGATGAGAGAAGCTGCCTTTTCACTAGCTGAGGCCAAGTTCACAGCAGGGGACTTCAGGTAAGATGACACAGCAGGCTGGTTTAAAACAAGTTAGTGCTTTCATCGTGATTTCATTGTAAATCATTCTAAATTTTAAAATGTATAAGCATTAAAGACAAATAAATGACTTAGTAATAATAAGGAGAAACACTTAACCCCCTCACCACTGTTACCATCCACAAGTGTCTTATGTAGTTGCAGGCACAGGATACTTGCTTTTTATAGTTCGTTTTTATTTAATGTGGTATCATAAACAATTTTTCCTTATTTTCACATGGCTATACAATCTTTCTCAAGATGTACCATGATTTACTAATTTTTTTCTCCTGATGCAGGTTCTTTGGGTTGATTTTCAGGTGTTTGAATATTAGAGAAAATACATGGGTATATATTTTTTGTTTCTATTTAGGCTAAATTTTTGAGAATGGAATCCATTAATTAAAAGGCAGGAGCTTAGCTGGATGTGGTGATGCACACCTGCAATCCCAATGGCTCGGGAGGCTGAGACAAGAGGATCTCAAATTTGATGCCAGCCTTAGCAATTTAGTGAGTCCCTGAGCAACTTAAAGACCCTGTCTCAAAAAATAAAAAGGTCTGGGGATGTGACTCAGTGGTAAAGTGCCCCTGGGATCGCTCCCCAGTACTAAAATAAGCAGTAGCTTTATGGCTTTTGTCATATCAGTATATTCTTTTTTATTTTTATTAACTTTATTTTATTTATTTATATTTATGTGGTGCTGAGGATTGAACCCAGTGCCTCAAACATGCTGGGCAAGAACTCTACCACTGAGCCACAACCCCAGCCCCAGTACATTATTTAGAAAAAGGATACACAGTAGTTTTCAAACAGTCTGTGTCAATTGAAAGTGTTGGTGATTCTCCAAATAACCTTGTGAGGTAGGTAAGCATTGTTATTCTCAGTTTAATACTTCCAGAAGTAAGATGGCTTGTGTGTGAGGGACAAGTGGAAGTTGTTTTTAGGATTTTTTAAATTTAGTTTTCTTTTCCCAATGACATTATATCTTCTGAAGTAGGTGCTTTCCTTGGAGGCAGGCCTTACAGTCTGAAGGCCTTATGGCCAAGTGAGGTGGTAGAATAATGTTTGCCAGTGCTGGTAGGATAAACAGCTTGCATTGAAAGTTTTCAGCTCAGGGAGGAAATCAGTAGTATGTAAGTGTGCTTTAGAATGGATATGGGGAAAACAGTTTATGTTGGAGCCAGATAGGGAGTCAGGTAAAACCTGAAAGGAAGTTGGAGTAAAACATTTGAACCACAGCTTAACCAACTACACAGCAAACCTAAAAGAAAGAAAGTTTTCTCCAAATTACACTAGCAGAATGGGAACCCCTATCACAGATCCACGTACTGACTGAAAATTCAAAAAATCCATGTACTTTAGAATCACCCGTTGAATATTTCTTATGCCTAATGTTTTAAGTATTGTGCATTCTCTGTTCTCTGAGCCCTTCCTATGGCAGATTTTCCCCCTTTTCTGGCAGAAAGACAATTACCAAAACTTACTTCATTGTGACATCTCATTCTTGGTCTCATTTAATGTGGAGACAAACTCATTGGGTCTGTGTAGATTGATTTCTAAAAATAAAACTAAATAAAGGCTTTGTCTTTTTCTGTAGCACCACAGTTATCCAAAATGTAAATAAAGCCCAAGTGAAGATTCGATCGAAGAAAGACAATGTAGCAGGTGACTTTTCAACTCTTTAGAATCCTTGGAGGAAAAAAGGTGACATTTAAAAATTAACCATTTGTACAATAATACCTTGATATGCCATTTTTTTCTTATACTTAGAACAACTTGACTGACTTTACATGTTAAAACCATAGGTCCTTATCATTCAGAATTGAGAAGACAGGTTCTGAATTCATTAATTGAAACCAATTATAATTCTAGGCCTAATCTCTTGACTTTTGAGTATTTGGTGAAAAAGAAATATAGGGAACAGTAGTTAAGAAACAGTACTTCAAGACCATGTTTATAAATGCTTCTGTATTTAACAGGTGTTACTTTACCAGTATTCGAACATTACCACGAAGGAACTGACAGTAAGTGTGACACTTTTTTTTTTTTTTAATATGTGTATCTGGGATCACCTTTTTCCCCTTTATTTTTTTATTTTTTATTTTTTTAAGGGGGGGGACTTTTTAATATTTATTTTTCAGTTTTCGGTGGATACAACATCTTTATTTTATTTTATGTGGTGCTGAGGATCGAACCCAGCGCCCTGCGCATGACAGGCGAGTGTGTTACCGCTTGAGCCACATCCGCAGCCCCTCCCCTTTATTTTTTAATTTATTTTTTCTTGGGTGCTGGGGATCAAACTGAGGGCCTTGTGCCTGTGGGCAAGCACTTTACCACTGAGCTACATTCCCAGTCACCTCTTTCCTCTTTAAATGAATCTGGTCCTGGAAATGATACTAGTCAGACTGTTTTACAGTTCAGAAGTTCCAGTGTTAGAAGTTCTCTTATTAGCTAAGGTCACATTAGTTAATCAGATAATCAAAAAAGTACTTTGGTAGGAGTCAGAAAACATTGTGCATCTTAGAATATTTCATTTGCCAGGTGTAGTGGGGTGTGCCTATAATCAGCTACTTATGAAGCTGAGGCAGGAGGATCACAAGTTTGAGGCTAGTGTAGGTAACTTCGTGAGGCCCACAATCAAAATAAAAAAGAATAAAAAGGACTGGGGATGTAGCTCAGTGTTAGAGGGCTTGTAGGTTCAATTCCTAGTACTGAAAAATGTTTTATTTTAATGTAGATATATATAATTTTATAATCATTTGCTATTTAAAAAATATTAAGCCTTTTCTTTTGTTAAGAATACACTGATTAGATTTCTGTGTTGTCTTTCTGCAAAAACTATACCTATAATGCATTGTTTATAATTCTTTGTAAAGTGGAATAAAATCTTAGATGCTATGATGTAATCTTTTTCTTTTTTAGTTGTAGTTGAACACAATACTTTTATTTTATTTATTTACTTTTATGTGGTGCTGAGGATCAGACCTAGTGCCTCACATGGGCAAGGCAAGCACTCACCACTGAGCTACAATCCCGGACAACTATGATGTAATCTTAATGCTGAATCTTTTTTTAAACCAGAATTGAACCCAAGGGTGCTTAACCCCACTGAGCCGTATCCCCAGCCCTTTTCATTTTTTTAATTTTGAGACAGGTTCTCACTAAGTTGCTTAGGGTCTCACTAAATTGCTGACGCTGGCTTTGAATTTGTGATTATTCTACCTCAGCCTCCCAAGCCACTGGATTTATAGTCATGCACCACTGTGCCCAGCTGAATCTTTTTTATAGCTCCTTTCCAGTATTTTGTTCTTGTCTCACTCATTCCATTTCTGATTTGGTAGCATTTTTTTGTCTTCCAGAAGTAGAATTGCTTTTTCTCTCTAGAAACAATATTCTTTCTTTTGGCACTCGTGCCTTATTGGTTTGTGTTATATATTCAATTATGAAATAATGCAATATTAAGTATGGCTTATATACAGAAATAGAGAGCATTTCTGAGAGTCCCCTCTTAATGGAGAGCCACTATTGTTAGAACAAAGAGACCAGGCTGGATGCAAACTTCGCAAAACAGCCAAAAGCCTTTATTCAGGAATGGGGTCATGGTTCTGATAGACCCACTCTCCTGTGGAAAATGAGCCACTGAACAAAGGAGGGGACTAGGTTTATATAGGTTATGGGTGATTTAGTGAGTATGTCAGTTTGGGCACTCAGGAATTTGGTCTTTTGCTTGGGGGTCAGTGGCCAGCACCTGGCAGGATTTATCTTGGAAGAGATTAGTGTTTCCTAGAGACTATCATTCTAGGTTTAATTGAAGCACTTTTTTCCTCGCCTGTGGCCAGCATCTGAAAAGGATTTATCTTGAAAGAGATGAAAGCCATCAGTGTATGGCTTTCTTTTTCATTCCCCTTTCCCAGGCTTCACTATTTTGGGATTTTTTGTTTTCCATATCTAATACTGTCCTGTGGGCAACAGGCAGTGTAGTTTCAAAGGGAATAGGGGGTGTTAGCTAATCCGGCAAGCTAGTCAAGTGAAGGGTGGTCAAAAGCTTCTCTTCTAGGGCTGGGGTGTGGCTTAGTAGTGGAGGTCTGCCTAGCACACGCAAGGCTCTGCCAGCCCCAGCCCCAGTACTGGGGAAAAAAAAAAGTTGGGGCTGGGGCTGGGGCTCAGCAATAAAGTGCTTACCTAGCACGTGCGGGACCCTGGGTTCAATCCTCAGCACACATAAAAATAAATAAAATGAAGGTATTGTGTCCAACTACAACTAAAAAACATTAAAAATTAAAAAAAAAAGTTTTCATCTCTAGCTGTAATAGACTAGAAGCCTTCAGGGAAACTGTTTAGCAGATGCTTCTACAGTATCTGGGAAGTGAGATAGGCACTTTATGTTTGCATTTAATAGGAAATAAGAGCATTGGTTTTTCCATATTTGGTGTTTTTCTGAACTATCTTTTAGGAATTTTATGGGAGATTATTTACTCTCTAATTGCAAATGTTGTCTGACTGGTTTTTTCAGGTTATGAACTAACTGGTTTAGCCAGAGGTGGGGAACAGTTGGCTAAATTAAAGAGGAATTATGCCAAAGCAGTGGAACTACTGGTGGAACTAGCTTCGTTACAGGTAAGTAGCAGCAAAACTGGAGAACTCCTGTCTGATTTCTCTTATGCTCGTGGAGACATTCAGAGATTGTGCAGGAGCACACTGCCCTTTGTACTTTATGCTTTGCCTATGATCCTGTGTAAAAAATCCCTAATGTTTTGATTTCTACAATGGTGGCTTCTGCACAATTGTTCCTACTTTTCCTTATTTACCAAATGTATGTGTAGTGTTTCATTTTCACTCTATTGGTGAGAACAGCCATAGTCAATATTAGTTTCAAATGCAAATATAACATGATTTGTGCATGAAGCCATTTTTTTCTTTTTGTGGCCACTTAATGTATATCTAGGTTATTAATTTTTGTCTTTATATTGGTGCTTTTGTAATTTTTGTCTTTATATTGGTGAGTCTGAAGTAAACACATTATAATAACATGGAAATAGTGTTAGCTCTATGGAAATCTCTCACAAATTTTGTTTTTTAAAGCATGTTGAAAAGAAGTTGTCTTTTAGCTTCCTAAATGTTTTCTATAGGTACAGTCTGAGTAGAGCCAAGTGAACAGGGTATTATTAGGAAGACTTTGTGCTTACAATACTAATTTGTTCTCTTATTTTAGACTTCCTTTGTTACTCTGGATGAAGCTATTAAGATAACTAACAGGCGTGTGAATGCCATTGAACATGGTGAGTCAAAGCTGCTGAGAGGTGCTTTGTTCATTCACTCCTCCCTCCCATCTTGTTAGGCAACTACTAGGACTTAGGCTCAGTACTGAAAATTGAAAGGTGAATAAGACACTGTGCTGCTCATAGTGTGAAAAACGAAGTGTCAGTAGTACCAAAACTTGTAGTGAAGTGAGAGATCCATGTGTATGATCTGGGGGAGTTAAAAATTGTAGAATGTCTTACTAATATTTGGTCAGGCATGTAGGTGGTAAAAGGCAAAAGCTGTTTCTCAAGAACCTTGATGTTTTCTTTAGTTCTTTCTAATGGTTGAACAGTGTATGTTAAATATGTAATTTTAAATCCATCTCTTTAGACTATCCTAAAGGTAAATTTTTCATTTGATACATTTTTTTTCTGTTTCTTTATTTCATTATTTCAAAAACATGACTGCATAGTATTAACAGTGCTTTTTGTTCAAAAAACTGTTTCCATTAAAGTTTTAAGGCAAGAAAGGAGCAAAATTTGAAGCAAAAATTTTCCTTTGGTACTCTGTTAATGTTTTAAAGGAACATTTTTTAAAAATCTAGAAACTTTTTTTGGTGGTGCTGGGGATCAAACCAGGGCCAGGCATGTGCTAGGCAAGTGCTCTGTCACTGAGCTCCATCCCCAACCTTCATTGCTTGCTAGGCCAGGGCACATGGAACTGCAAGCAAAACAAAATGGATATGGTAAATAGTTCCCACCTTCAAGGCAATTCATGTTCTAGAAGCTGAAGAGGCAAATTCTGTGTAAAGTAGAGCTAATAACTCACATAAAATTAACTTATTAGTATTCTCACAACTTGTTTTTTTGTTTTGTGATAATAGGGATTGAACCCAGGGGAACTCTACCACTGAGCCACATCCCCAGTCCTTTTTATTTTCTATTTTGCTGTCCTCGAACTTGTGATCCTCCTGCTTCAGCCTCTCCAATTGCTGGGATTATAGGCATGTGCTACAATGCCCTACTCCTCTACTCAGTCTTTTTCTTTCTTTTGTACCCAGGGTTGAACCCATGGGTGCTTAACTGCTGAGCCACATCCCCACCTTTTTTCTCTTTTGGTACTGGGGATTAGACTCAGTGGTGCTCTACCAATGAGCTATAACTCTAACCCTTTTTATTTATTTGTATTTGGGACTAAGTCTTGCCGATTTGCTTAGGGCCTCACTAAACTGCTGAGGTTGGCCTCACACTTCTAGTCCACTTGCCGCAGCCTCCCATGTTGCTGGGACTATAGATGTGCCAATATGCCTGGACTTTGCTTGTTTTTTTTTTTTTTTATGGTGCTGGGGATTGAACCCAGGGCCTTGTGCATGCAAGGCAAGCACTTTACCAACTGAGCTATGCCCCCAGCCCTCTGCTTGATATTTTTAATCGTAGATTGAAATTATATTTTAAAATAACATTTGTAGTTCAATGTTCCCTATTCATGTATATTCAGTATATTCATTGTTGGATCTGTTGTGGTGCAATGTGTTATCTGTATAAAAAAATAGAAGGGCACATACCAAAATATTCATAGTAGTTACTTTGGGGAGTTTGAATTATATTTCATTTTAACTTTGTGTTTTTGTTTTCCAAGTTCTCTGCATTAAATGTATGACAAAGTTTTATAATTAGAAAACTGAGCACTGGTAATTTGAAAAAAGCAACTTTGAATTTCATATATATATATATATATATATATATATATATTTTTTTTTTTTTTTTTAAACTCTAGTCATCATTCCCCGGATTGAACGCACCCTTGCTTATATCATCACAGAGCTGGACGAAAGAGAGCGAGAAGAGTTCTATAGGTTTGTTGAAACTGGGCAGTTACTGATCATTTTTTGTTTTCCGTAATCCAAAGGCTCAATTTGTTGAATGATAAGTTGGCTTATGTTCTTTAGAATTAGCATAGCTTGTACTTTGTTGTGATAAATAAGAAGCAAAAATTAATACAACAGTACTTTTATGTGCAGTTTTGCTTTTCATGATTTTAGTTATCTGTTGTCAATTGCAGTCTGAAAATATTAAATGGAAATTTCCAGAAATAATCTAGAAGTTCTCATTTGCATGTTGTTATAAATAGCATGTAAAATCTCATTCTGTCCCAGTGTTAGGAGGTGAATCATACTTTTGTCCAGCATATCTACACTGTATACCCTACCCAGCTGTCACTTAGTAGCCATCTCAGTTCTTAGATCAACCGTTGATTGTCTTACTAGTGTAATGCTTATGTTCATATAACTCTTACTTCATTTTATAATGGCCCCAAAACACAAAGGTATTGATGCTGGTAATTCAGATATGCCAAAGAGAAGCCATAGCTTCTCTTTATAAGGGAAAAAGTAAAAATTCTTAGTAAGAAAAAAGATCAGTTATTGTATCTAATTTATAAATCAAACTATAATAGGTATGTATGTATAGTATTTTCAATCCACAGTTTGTTTAATCTGTAGATATGAATTTTGCAGACACAAAGGGCCAACTACATAAGAAAAAATACAGTATACAAAGGACTCAGTGCTATCCAGTTTCAGACGTCCACTGCAGACCTTGGAATAAATGCCCTGCATGTAGAAGGGGACTACTGTACTGCCAAAGGCTGTAGAGACAGATCAGTGTCAGGTTTTGCATATATCTTAAATGTGGCATCTCCAGAAATTTAGGCCTTTGAGAGAAACTGTTAAGACCTGATTATTCTTTAAAATGAAACAATTTAGATTGGGTGTCTCCTACATAAAAACTGAGAAAGAAACTAGAGTCATTTAATCAGCAAATATGTACTGCATGTTGAGTGTGTGCAGTAGATGGCATAAAGTATTTGGGGCATTTCCAGATAGAATTAGCTCAGCTTTGGAAATATTCATGTTCAGGAATTGGTCATGAAGATTTAGAGTTAGTAGGGATAAATATTAAATTGGTGGTATATGGGGTCAGCATTCCTGGTTCAGAAGAAGCAATAATAACTATCATGTATGAAGATAAGGTTTGTGAATGGCCCTCCCTTCTTCCTTACTCTTAGATAATGCTCTTGTCCCTTCAGCCAACAGAGGAACCATCTTGCTTTCTTTTCAGCACCAAGCAGATCTGCTGGAGGGCCCATCCATCCTCTGTACCCCAGTTCCAAGGAAAGGTCCATTGTCCTCCTTAAATGATAAATCCTTCTCTCCTGGTATACTAGGTCCTAGCCAATTTTACCACAATGTGATCTCATTATCAGCTTGTCTCTATCTTCAATCTTTCCACATGTACAGTTACCTACTAAACACATCTACCTAATGGTCCTATGGCCCTCAATTTTAAAAGATTCAAAGCCAAACATAGGTAGGTGAAAGAAGTAGCATTTAGGGAAGACATGTTGTCTTAAGTGCTTGAACAGCATCTTTGTATGATGTATACTCGCCTTCAGTGATGTTCAGCATTGATCCAAAATTTTAATACATATCTGAATGCTCAAAATTTTTTCCATTAGGGAATGGATTTCAAAATTTATTTAACCTGGATAGGAGCTTGTGAAATCAGCTTATATCTTAAATTAGCATATTATACCCCATATCTTTCTTTAATGGGTTATAAATTACTGATACTGAAATTAATGGTTATCACATTTTGTCCTAGTTAGGTTTATTATCATCCTTGTTACAAAACTAGAAGAAATCAAATCCACTTAATAGTGAAGTTGTGTTTAGAAAAATCTCCCCTTTTATCTTACAGGTTAAAGAAAATACAGGAGAAGAAAAAGATTCTTAAGGAAAAATGTGAGAAGGTCTTGGAGCAACGGAGAGCAGCTGGAGAGGTGATGGAACCTGCTAACCTTCTGGCTGAGGAGAAGGACGAGGATCTTCTGTTTGAATAATCTTGCCTGCTCTGTTCTTTCAGAAACCCCCAACACTGGTTCCAGCTTAATTCAGTGTAGGTTTGATACATGTGGCTATTTTTTGGCCTAAGAATTTCACTGGTCATAAAATTTACCTGGGTGTCCACTTATGGGGTTACTTTTGCAGACTCATAATTCAGTTATTTATCACAGGTGAGTGGGATTTGTAAAACCTGCTCAGTAACTTACAGGATTTACTCACTGAAATGTCATGCTATTCTATTTATATTGTGTTACACATGATCTATTTACCAAGCATTTTAGGACATACCCTTTAGGGAACATTAGTGGTCTTAGGCCAACTACAGTGGATCTGCCTTTGTTCCTACCTACAAGCCTTGGCGCTCTTTCTGACGTTAGTGCAGTCTTGTTTCACCTTGGTACTTCTCTCCTCAAGCTTTATGAAAATCTTCATTTCCTTGCATGACAGATCTCTTCTCGTCTGTCATGGAACAGTTCTGCCAATTTAAATGTGTGTTATGAACAGAGTAAAATGATATAAAAAGTAAGTTGTTTCCTTTTTATTATTAATTTACTGCTAAGAATAGTAGCCACATTATTATGCTCAGATTAGTGACTATATTGCCATCCACAAGCTTTCTCTTGCTGAAGTGTGTAGTAAGTGGTAAGTAAGTTGCTTATTTATTTATTTTTTTTAACTCCCTCTAATTATCAATGTTTTACTAAAAGGCTTTTTTTGAGGCGTTTTTTGCATTATGGAGTTACTAATAAATGATTGCCAGTGAGTTAGGAACTTCATAATTCTTTCCTAAACATAAATTTTCATTTTGAAATAAATAATGTTAACTTTTTATTATTTTATAAGCAATAATAACTATCATGTATGAAGATGAGGTTTGTGAATGGCCATCACAGGTGATGACTGAGGTTTTTGGTACTATTTGATTTGGCATATTTACCCATGATTCCTCAGCCTTTCAGTCAGTTCCAGGCATTTTGGGCATGACATCCATGGAATAACTCTTAGTTTTAAAATTGTGACACTAGCCTTAATATGTTTTAATGAATCGATTTCACAGTTTAGGCTATTTTTAAGTACTAAATGATTTTACAGACATCAAATAATAGATTAGTTATTATGTGTCATCACAATAATCATAAAAGGTATACTTTAATCCCCATTTCATGGAGGAAAAATTTGAGGACAGGGAACTTCAGTAATGGCCTTAGGTTAAAAAGCGAAAAAGTGGTGACATGGGGTCTCACCAGGTTGCCCAGGCTGGCCTTAAATTCACCATTCTCCTAGCTCAGCCTCTAGAGCAGCTGGAATTATAGGTGTGTGTTTCAGAGTTTTTATACCTCAACTTTTATCCTTTGTGCCTCCCATGTGTTAAAACTAAATACCTTATCCAGGAGATGATCTGTAGAAAGCTTGGCTCACAGAATAAAATCTGAGTATAAATTCTGTGGTGATTAGAAAACCAATTACTGAATTCACAAATATTTTAAAAATAGGCAACACTGGCTGTTTAACTTCTAATTCCCCAATATCTTGATGAGGTAAATTCTCCTACACCCACTCTGCAGATGAGGAAATTGAGGTTTAGATGGGCCAAACAGCATAACTGCAATGTAAGTCAAGTGGTATCTTGATTTCAGAAGCTTGGTGCTTAAACAAGCTTCTGAAATCAAGAAGCAAAAGAAGATGGAGGTAGAGAACCAGAATTATTTGGTGAATTTTCATTTAGATAAATTCAGTATTTCTTAAAAGCTCTGGAGTTTATTGGCCTTGATTAAACTGCCTTTACAACTGCAAATGATCCTATGGTTTAGCATTTATTAAAAAGAAATCAAGAGAAAATAGTGGACAGTTTGTTGTGTGGAACTGGAGTGATCTGATCCATAGGAGAAGGGGATAGATCAGGAATAGGAATTGAAAAATAGAATGGGGTAGCAGGTGTTTATGTGGATTAAACTTTTTGCTGGTGTATGATTTATGTCCTTTGGGAGATACCGAATGGTCTGGGAGAAAAAGGGAAAATGAAGTATGTTATATGTTTGCCAACAATTCACATGCTATCCTTGGCTTCCTTAATTCCTGTTTAATTTAAGGTAAATTTGCTAGAAGTATTATATACCTCATTCCCCTGAAAACTTTTCAAGTTCACAGCCTTAAGTTATCCATTTTTGGTAGTTGTTTTAACTATTATGGAACAGGACCTTCTTACTGTACCAACAGAGGACATTCTGTTGCAACATTCCACAATAAGCAATAGCTTAAAAGGTAATTTGTGTTCTACCCAGAGGTTCCAATGGTATTACTTTTGGCGAACACTTTTGGCGAACACTCGCAACAAGAGATTGGTCTTTATATATGTAGAAACCTTGAATGGCAGTGGATATAAACATGGCAAAACAAAGTACTCTGTGGCTGTTTGTATTTGAAATATAATTTTACTTTTTATTTTTCCATACAGTGTGCAGTATAACATCTCAAAATAACAGTGCAGATACAAGAATACAAAGGGGATTAACAACAGATGTCAGAATGGTTACCTTCATTAAGGCTATAACCCTGGTTTATATTTTCCACACACATTCATAAAATTACATTCAACTCATTCCTTATCAGTACTTATTCCTTAGGCCAGGAGAAACGGGGGAAAAAATCCAGACGTTAATTTTCTTAGAAAGTAAATCTGGATTCGTCTAGATAATATTCTTCCACTTGTTCTGACTTAATGAAAATTTAATAAATGAAGACACTTCCTGGTTTGGATTTCCCAGGCATATTTCATTAGCTATTGGTATAATTTCTATAATAAGTGGTTAAAACCTCCATGACTGCAGTTTCCAATCAGAACCATGGAGGGACAAGATAGAACTGGCTAAAATGGCTGTACAACCAAATGTATAGCACGGCTTTTCTCCGTGTTCTGCTGAGGCAGTCGGCACAACAGTTTTCATATTGTTGAAGGACTGTGTTGAATATCAGCACATCTGTATCACTAGGACTCAGGAAAGTTCAAGACAAACATTTCTATCCCCCTACTTCTGCTGATGAAGAAGAGAATTATAGGATTTCATTTTTCCTGGAAATGTCTAATACCTTAAGAGTTTCTAGACGTCATCATGGTTCCTTGGAATAGATCTGTTTGTGAAAGCCATGTCTTGATAAGGTGGGAGCCTAGTGTGGCCCTACGATCAGCAGTGGCACAACAGCCTCTTACTGACACTACCTAAAACCTTACTCAAACTTAACATGGGCTGTCAAAATTTTCAATCTTGAGGTTGAAAACAGCTCTCAGTTACAATATGCAGTTCACAAAACTCCACTGTTGACCACAGACTACCTTTTGTACCTGAGAAAGAAAACTGGAAAACTGAAAAAAAATTAAGTGCTAAGTATATTCCTTGTTTTTCAATGCAGAATATGGTGTGTCCTTTGCATTTTCCTGCTACCAGCTGGAGTGTTTTAGGCCTGAGGAGACAGTATGAATAGCATTCCTTTCCTCAAACCAGGAATGTTACTTCTTCCCAAGGAATATTATCTTGAAAGTATTTTCAGATAAGACACTCCCCAGCCAACTGAAGAGGCCATGCAAATTTGAATAGAAAAAGGCAACATATAAACTGTCTACATTTGTTCAAATAAAACCATGTAGAAGAGAAAAAATCACATATATACATGATACCGAGACAAACTACTTATTAACAGTTGCTTGTGTTAAATTAAGTGACAAGTCAATATCATTCCAGTGTTTGTTTAGTTTTGGGAACAGGAAATGCTGTAGCTAAAGTTGTTATAAAAACAAAAATAAGGCATTCACATTTGTGGTTGTTTGTCACAGAACACATCACACTACCTTAAAGGCACGAAAAGACTACAAATTAAACTTTCTATGACAATAACAGACACTGCATTTTAAAGCTACAGTTACAGAGACAGTATAAAAATCCCATTAGCTTAAAATTTCTTTTACACTTTAGCAAACTGTTCAATTGAGTCAAGAGGCAGACATTGTTAGGATAAACACCTGTTTCTATGTGCTTAATAACTTTTCCCTTCCAATGTTATTTTCCTAAAATGTTCAAATGACTTTCAAGTCTTCCTTTCCTTCTGATCTCAAAGTCAAGTGTCAAGGTATTCCGTGTGTGTGTGTGTGTGAGTGATTTTATTCTAATGCTGAGCAAATGTTATCAATGACTATTTGTTGGTCTATTAAATATTAGTATATGTCACAGCAGCTATAGTCCTCAACAGAATTCCAGTTTGTTAATGTAGCACAGTCAGAATAATACTGTGCTCATATGTAAAACTGCAAAAAACTCAAATGTGCCATGTCTTCCCATGTATATAAAAAACTATTTGCATCACAAGGAAGAAACTTTTTAAACAGTCACACAGTTTGAATGTTTGCCATTCATAAAAAGCATAACTGATACATCCTATTGTACTATTCATATCAGAGAAAGGAAGCAAAGCTATCAAATCACTTGTGACAATTTAACAAAAATATTCAGAAAATTATATCTTTAAAAAGATCAGCGTGTTTTTTATACCTTTAACTACATTAGAGTCTGCTGAGTGTGCAGTCTTATTCACAAAGTTTGAGCTTAAAAAATGGTGCTTCTAATGGAATGTTTTTGTTTTGTTTTTTAAGAATTAAAAGACACATAAATGAATAAAAACTCCCAAAGCAGCTCCAAACCAATGTGGCACGCACCATTTTTCTTTTTCTTCTTTAGGAAAGTATTTCTGATTACTAAATCAGTCTCCTAAGCAAATACTGCTTTTGCTCAGTGCATAGAAGCATAGACCCCAAAATACTCCCAATGAAGTCATTTAAGTTAAATGTTAAATAACAGCAATATTTATAACTATTTGAGACATGGAATATTGTGTATATACATACAAGTTTTTCATAGAAATATGATCAAGCAAGCAGAAAAGATTTAGTTAGATGAAAACAAAAATTTTTACCAGGATAAAATGGAACTGCTCTGTTGAAGGCTTTCATTTAAAATCCCCAAATGAGCCAAGAGCCCCTAAAGCCATGTATGGAGAATGAAGAATGTTGTGCACAAATAGCCTTAGGGGACTTCTCACTAGTTAAAAAAATCTAAGAGCAGGTCTGCAGTTTATCCTGCTGTCTTCCATCTTTATTCTCAATCTTGCTGAAGTATTGGGGCCATCTTCCTATGGCAGTTTGCCAGATCAAGTCCAATCATGCCACAGAAAGAATGTTTCCTTCATCTCAGCCAAGTCGATGGCACCCACTGAGGTTCTGTATCAAGTTTGTTAATTAATCTCAGCAATTCCTGATAAGCTTTATCAAGATCTGAATTCACAATTGCTGTGTCGAAGTAGTGGCCATTGTTCTGCTCCATCTCTCTAGTCTTTTCAATGATTTCTCTCAACTCTTCAGGCTGCAAAGAAAAGTAAAAAAAAAAAAACAACAACAAAGAAAACTCTGAGGTCATCCTTATCCTTACCAAAATACAGGATGAGTCAGATGGCCCAAGAACAAGGTGTGCCCTTACATTG